AGCTAAGAACAGGAAACTGAGGCTACAATTTGCACAAGCTCATTGAAATTGGACAATAAAAGATTGGAAAAACGTTGCCTGGTCTGATGAGTCTCGATTTCTGCTGCGACATTCGGATGGTAGGGTCAGAATTTGGCGTCTACAACATGAAAGCATGGATCCATCCTGCCTTGTATCAACGGTTCAGGCTGGTGGTGGTGGTGTCATGGTGTGGGGAATATTTTCTTGGCACTCTTTGGGCCCTTTGGTACCAATTGAGCATCGTTGCAACGCCACAGCCTACCTGAGTATTGTTGCTGACCATGTCCATCCCTTTATGACCACAATGTACCCAACTTCTGATGGCTACTTTCAGCAGGATAATGCGCCATGTCATAAAGCTGGAATCATCTCAGACTGGTTTCTTGAACATGACAATGAGTTCGCTGTACTCAAATGGCCTCCACAGTCACCAGATCTCAATCCAATAGAGCATCTTTGGGATGTGGTGGAATGGGAGATTCGCATCATGGATGTGCAGCCGACAAATCTGCGGCAACTGTGTGATGCCATCATGTCAATATGGACCAAACTCCCTGAGGAATGCTTCCAGCACCTTGTTGAATCTATGCCACGAAGAATTGAGGCAGTTCTGAAGGCAAAAGGGGGTCCAACCCGTTACTAGCATGGGGTACCTAATAAAGTGGCCGGTGAGTGTATAATGTGGTCTACAGAGGAGAGATGGTCATCTAGGATGAAAACAAGTGCTTAATTGGGCTTAAGGCAACGACTTTGTGAGTCTCTTCAACCAAGAGGAGAGATTTGGCTCGGGAAGTCTTTACTTGGAGGAAGAAAAGCTTAGTCAGTCACCATAAAGTTGACATTATTGGATCAGATAAAAAAGAAGAACCTGACCCATTCGATGTGATGCTATTCAGCACACTTCAGTAGTTAATGCAGCATGATTTGATGCATAGAACATTACTTTGTCATCACAAGACCAATAAAAATGAGATATTTATTATAAATCCATGTGAATGTCAGTCTTGAAATTATCTTGTGTTCAGCTGATTGTGTGCTTAACAAGCGACGAGTCTGACAGGAGCAGTGCGTTTTTCTGAAGGACTTCAGACTTAAATACAAATTAACTTGACAAAAAATTCTTCCAAAAAAGTGCAATATAATATGCAATTAACCCTTGCTGTGTGTGTACAAACTTGATTATCTAATTTTTTGAAAGTGAATCTAAGCCACACAGAGTACATTGGACACAGAATCCTTCGAGGACTCAGTGACACTGGTAAAGAGTTATATGTGTACTCAACCATAGAAAGTTGCTCCAAGATGAAGGATTCTTGGCTACCAAACATCAAAACATTCTCTCCAAATCCTGGTTGGCTTGTTTGGACTGACCGTTTCTCTAGGGATGATAACCCGAAGACAGACTGACCGTAGCCCCCAATAACTTACAAAACTCCTGCCAAAATTTGGACACAAACCCTGTCAGAAACCTGAAATCAATATGCTGAAATTAATATGCTGTATCTAATTAATATAATTGTGGCAACAGATTACAAGTAATATTATTAATTAAATTTAACAGATTAAAATTGAGTAAAAATTAATCAAATTATTCCTTTAAAAGTTAACCATTTAAAATTAGTAAAGTTTACACCAAAAAAATGTATCTCACTAACAGACAGACGTTAAAGATTAATTAAGAACTCTTTATTTTAAATTGCCGACATTGAATGATGTTAACAAGCAGAATCAGTGAAGGAGAAAACCGTCATTTTAAAACAAACTTAATACAGACACTGATCACCACAATGGTGACTTCAATGTTGTTGTTTTTTTTTGGTTGTTGTTGTAAGTTTTACTCATTTTAAATGGTTAACTTTTTTTAATTATTAATCAATTCTAATTTGTTAATTTCAATTAATAATATTGCTTGTAATCTGTTGCCACAATTTGTTTGATTAGATAAAGTATATTCATTTTTACAGTGTAACCATTATGCCATTAGACTCGCTGACAAAATCTAGCGCGATGTGGGACCAGGATCTTGAAGGGACAGACAGCGGCCGGAGTAACCCATCAGGAGGTCGGTTAGACGTCTTGCTAGTGGCACAAACCGAGGAAGCCAAAATAATATCGTGAACATCACAAGCCATTAACAGCCACCAGAGTCGTTGCTTTACCAAACCGTTGGTACGACTTACTCCTGGTTGACAAGCAACATTGGAGCAATGACCCCATCGAATAACATCGGTAAAAAACAAACGACCGGGCGGAGGCATCACCCCTTCTAAGGCTGTCTTGCCCTGCTACTTTCTGAGGTAAAATGTACTCGTGAGTAACTGGGCGTTCGGATTGATCAAAAATACTAGATAAAGAATCGGGTTTGATGTTCTTGGAACCCGGGCGGTACGAGAGAACAAAATGAAAACGTTCGGAAAAAAAAGTGCCCAACCAGCCTGTCTTTTAAAAAGATCTAATATATTCAAGGTTCTCATAATTGGTCCAAACGATAAAGGGCACCCCTGAACTGTAGCCACTCCTCCAACGCCAACTGTTACCAATGTCATAGTTACGTTCGGCAGGTGATAAGCGATGGGACAAGAATGGGAGCTGAAATGAAACGACTCTTGAGGCCGGACTACCTGAACGCAGTTCTGGGGGAGGTCAAAGTGGTCAGAGGCGCTGAAATTGCGAATGAACTGCCGATAGAAATTGGCGAATCCACTCCAGAAACCGCTGTAGGGCCTTACGGGAATCTGGACTTGGCCAATCCATCGCCGCCTTAACCTTTTCAGGATCCATGCGCATTCCCTGAGAGGATATGACGTACCCTAGGAAAGAAACAGACTGTACTTGAGAAGTGCCTTCCTCAGACAGAATGAGCTGCATATGGCCACTTTGTTTTCAAAGTGGGTCACGAAATACTCAGTGGTAAGTGTAGATGGTGGAGAAGAACAGAGATGAAACGGCATAAAACAGTTTGCACAGATTGAAGATGTTGAAAGTGTTGAAAGTGAACGTGTAATGGGAGCCCGATGTCTTCAATTGTCTGGGGGGAAATAATCACAGCACAAGATGTAGCACTTTAGGCGAATTGTTTTTCCCCCCATGTAGTTTTGTTCTGTCACAATAAAGGATGTCAGAAAGCCGAAGGCTGGAAAAAATGTGCCAGGATGGCTTTGAGACTACAGGGCAGAGGTCCACATCAAGTGCTGATGAGAGGGTGGCATTCTGAGTGTACTGGTCAATATTTGAAGAGATAGAAAGACTGGATGGAGGAAAGTGAGACCACTTCCATATAATTGACATCTTGTTACCTTTTTGTCAACAATTTCCTCAGCTTTGGAAGAGAGCGAGTTCACTTTTACTGTCACTTTCGTGTCCATTGGTTCTACCAGTCCATGGGCGGGCATTGGGGGGCCTGGCCCGCCCTGGATGATCCTGTTTCGCTTCATTAACTCTACATCACGTCTCATCTCATTTCATCGCGATCAAACTCTTGAGCGGTGAGTGGATTTTATTCGCGGAGTGGCTCTCCACCTGTTGTGTTTGTGGACTATGGACTACACTGTACGTCAAAAATGATGTCAAAAACTTTGGGGTCAAAGTTGATGTCAAAAAACAAATAGGGCCAACATAAAAACAATGGACAGACACATATTCCTCAAGGCTCAAGCTCATTTCAAGCCAGCTCCACCATCAAATGTTGGCAAGGCAGTGATGGTCAATGGGGTTCAGGGTTGTTTTGGACTCTCATTGTTTGTGCTAAAACATTTGCAATGTTCTTCAAAACATATTTTATGTCCTACAGAAGAAATAATGTCATGTCAAGGTTTGAAATGACTCGAGGTGAGAAAATGATGACAGATTTGACATTTTTGGGTCAGATTTGTCAACTCTCCCTTTATATAAATGAATGAAAAGTGAGCGTGACCCACTTTTTTGTTAAGTTTCTTACACAAAAAGTAAGAAAGAAGAGAAAGTAAGAGTATAATTTAGAGAAAAGTTAAGATTTCTTTGCTCAGAACTCAAAATAGAAGTCCTGAATGATAACTAATTGCACATTAACTTTTGTTTTTACTTGTATGCCAGGTCTCTTTCTATTAAAATATGACATTTTTAATAGAAGTGCGTTGCATGCGGATGCATTTTTATTTCGACGGATTATTAACTTGTCTAAAAGCGCCCTGTACGTATATGCCTCACATTTACATGTACATTCTTTAAGTGATTTGTTGAAGAGAGAGTGCAAGAGACTACCAGATTAAGTTGCAAAAAGAGAAAATGTGCCGAATCTACAAAGAAGTCAGGAACATTGCAAGTTCTTTACAGTCTTATCAGAGCTCAGCAAAATCCAGCCCTCTCTCACAATTTGCAACGAGCGGCGTAGGCGTGCTATTCCTTTTTAATTAGTCACACTTGGCATTAAAGTGGTGCTCCCTGAGGGAGAGGTTTTGTGAAACTGTGTCTGCTATACGAAGGGAAACTTTAGCAGAGGGAATATTATTTTTCAGGCTTTGCACCAATGTTTTCTGAGGTCTTTATAGCTCCTTGTATTTGACAGGAGACAATTAAAAGACACATTTTTGCCATTGCACTAAGTTTAAGCAGCAGTGGAGCTGCATTGGCATGGGTTAAGTAAGGGATAATCAAAAAAATTCTCTCAAAATAACCCCCGACAGGGTGATGAGGACCCTCTGAGAAGAAAGTTGAAAATAATAACAATCAACCACTGGGATGTCCAAATATATGAATAATATCTAAATATATCAAATTATAAATATATCCAGAGGTAGATAACTGATGGATTAAAGACATGATCCTTCTATTAAATTTAAATTAAACAGGAACAAAGTTAATGCGTAACTAAACTAAACAGGCTCCAGGATTTTATGGCAAAAGAAATTGCAACGTGATGTGTTTGTGACCTGTATTGTACTGTATCTTTGTTTGTCATTTTATGTGATTTGTGGTAAATGTTGCTCTCTGTTGTTTTCTAGTGCCCTCTCGAAAACATAGCGCCTCCCACTGGAGACTCCAGAACATTGCCCAAGAATCCGTTGAAAGCTCTGACGAGGAGTTTTTTGACGCCCGGGGTAAGAGTTGATCTTGTTCCTGATTAATATTTATTAGTGGAAAGTGCTGGTCCTTTTAGGATTTGAATTTTAAAAACTCACTTGGAAGATATTTTTAAGACCCCCTGTGTTTGTTTTTTTTTTTTATATGCTAACCATGTGCAAATTCATGTCAACACAATTGCCATGTATATGAGTATTTTCTCATTATGCAGAGAGGTCACTACAATGAACTGCTATTAAATGATACATATCATGCTTTTAAATCATTCATTTTTACATATAAATCATACCATTGTGGTCTATATAAAGCATAACTGCAATGCTTGGGTCTGAATTCCTCATTATTATAGCTCACCAGGCCCCTTTTCTGATGTGCGTCTGTGAGCGACCTGTTTCGAAGCGGCCCCTTTAAATAAAAAGGAGTTGCGTCTTTCCTCCCGCCCGCTCTCCAAGTCGATGAGTTCACGGTCGGTTCAACTCTCCCCGTTCGGCCATTATTGTAGTTTGATTAGAGATATACGATTACTATAGCTTCAAAGAACATTTTTATTCACATGTTAACAAAATGTCAACAACGCAAGACTTGTCCATCAAGCCTAACATATTCGAGCCAGAGCGAGCGATTTGAAAAAGACGACGACGAACCTGCAGAACAACCTCTTCATATGGATATATTGGTATGTGAGTTTTGTGTTATTAGTGAAAGTCGACTATTTCTCTTGTTAAAACAAGCACGCTGACAAGATAAATGACTACGGTCTAATCTTACCACTAAAAATCTGTATTGACAATAATATGATAACTTACGTTTAGAAAAGCATCAGCAAACACAGCAGCTTAAATGATAGCAGGAATTTACCCCTCATTCGGCAAACCCTACTTTATACTGGCGGAGGTTGTTGGTGTGAGGATCCTTGAAGTGCTTCAGGTCACTAACGTACATCCAACAACCGAACATTTTGACTTGCCCTCTCGTAACTTCTGCATCATTGAGCTCGGACTACAAAATCAGAACGAGAAATAATAATGGCGGATTGCTCGAAAATGTTGGGCCGGTAGTCAATGTCCTTATTTGTCAGTTCCGCTGCAAACACTGTGACGTAATTGTTCAAAAAAACGTAATAGTCATATTGAAAAATATGACCAAAACAGAATATAAAGATATAAACGAAGCACCTGAAGAGAATAATTTAATCTTTTCTGTACTTATAAACACTCCAAATATACAACAAAATGCATTTAAGGGCTATAAAAGTGGATTTTGCATGATATGTCCCCTTTAAAAAAGCATTTTCTTGAAACTCAAAAGTAGCTGAAATCCCTTATGGAATTAAGACAGCACACAGCTCAAACAGAGCAAAACTGAAGAGATTATTACTGAAGGCTGTGTGACTTACAAACATTGAACAGAGGAGCCACTTATCTACATACTTACTTCAAATAAAAATACACCACAAATCAAACCTAAATGGAGACTCTCAAATAACATTTTAATGAATCTAATTCCATGTCCTTTATTATAAGATGGATTTGACGTCACCATTTGCAAAGAAATTCATGACGGCTGATCCATTGCGAGCTTTCTTCGACTTGACAGCCAGTCACAACACAAGTTAAAGAAAAGGCTAAAGTAATACATCACACACGCAGACTGGTGTTACAGTCCACAAGGACATACAAATGTGAAGCACATTTGAATTGTTAGTTAAAAATGTGAGCATGGTAATTCAGGTTCAGATTTCCATTTGTAAAAATACGTTTTTTTTCCCTCAACTTCAACTTTTATTTATTTATATAGCACATTTAATAGCAACGTTCATTGCCCAAAGTGCTTCACAGTTAACTCAAGACAGTAAAACATTCATCTATAAAAGCGTGTGTGAAAGTAGACCATACACTCTTAGACATACTCCACATATAAAATATAATGAGGACAGTGTAGAAAGGAATTAAAATAATAGAAACTGAAAATGATTAAATTATATATGTACACTGTAACAATACACTAACTAAAGGCTAGGTTAAAAAGATACGTTTTTAAATGGGACTTAAAGATTTCTATTGTTCGAGCTTGCCGGATATTAGACTTTCATTGTGAACCTGATTCTGAAGTAATGCCGGACAACTTATTGATGATTCGCTTGCATATGTTGATGTCATTTGTTTTGTCTGTTGGGTAGCAACCAGCAGGATTATAATTGGTTCAATTCAGTTATTCATGAGGTGCAAATTGCCCAGTGGTATTTTTCGAGCATCAAGCACTCTCAAGTGATTTTTTTTTATATGGGCAAATGGTTCTCTTGTTAATCCCAGTATTAATAAAGGCACTGCCATATTTCGTTCGCTTTCCCTGTCTTATTTCACAGGTATTAGGCTAGATTGCTATCGAATGTGGAGTACCTGTGAGTGATTATGGCTGTAATCTCTACAGAACCATTTGGGGAGTTCAGAACCGTAGCATATGTAAAAGGTTTGTGGAAATGAAGCATTTGAAGCTCTGCATAACTTTCCACATTCCACATTCATTTCGATCTTAGCTGAAGGTTTTGAATGGAAATAATACAAGGTCTTGAACTGAACAGGGTAGCCGTTTAATATTTCTTATGTGCGGTAAGAATGCAGAATGTAAGTACATTTTTACATCTGGATTAGAAGGTTATACATGTATTGTATTCTGCTTTTGATTTCACATCCCATCCCTACAGCATTCTGGTGTTAATGTGCAAGTTGGCCCAAATATTCATCAGTGAAGGGCTGAACCCATTTGTCTGGATCACACTGTTATCTAGATATGATGCTATGGGCACACAGCCATTGAAGCTGTGCCCATTTGTTACTGCAACACTTGTCAGACTGTGCTGTACGCTGCCAGCAGGTATGACGTTAAATAAGGTTGATCTTGAATGCCAATTAGCCTCCTCTCTCTGGTCAATAGTCAAGTTTCATCTCTGCATGATCATGATTTGGGGTTGTTTGATAGGAACGTTGAAGGATTAGTTCACCCACAAAGAAATATTCTGCCATTTATGTCATTCCAAACCTGCATGACTAAAAGTGGTCCACATGAATTGTACTCTACTTTAAAAAAGTGCTTTGTGCGAGATAATGGGATAGCTGATTCGTAACCAAATTATTAGTTTGAGTCAGATCTTTACAATGAAACAGGGGATCTGCTTCATAAAACCAGTTTGAATGATTCGTTTACAGATTGGTGTGATTCGTTTCAACGAGCCGCTTTAAACTCACTAACTATACACTGTAAAAAAAACATACGTTAAATTTACGGGAAAACTCCGGCAGCTGTGGTTACCAGAGTTTTCCTGTTAAAAGTACGGTAGCAACATTCTAGGTTTTACAGACTTTGACCGTATTTAATTTTACAGCAATAAACTGTATTTCATTATTTGATATAATGTTAATTTACTGACATTTTGAAGTATTAATATCTGCTTTGTTCAATTGCAATACACCGACAGTCATCTATCACAGCAATAATCAGAGTCAAATGACCAATCAAAGCTCATCATTATCAACTCCTTCCACAAGAGAGAGTTCATCCTACTATATAGAAGCTGCACAGTGTCATTCACACAAACATTAAACACCATCATGGTAACATGTTGAAATTTTAAAAATGGAATAAGAATTAATTTAACAACGTTAAATGTAACATAAAACCCTAATGAACAAAACTGATAAGAAAAAAACTAAGAAAATTATGAATAAACAGTTAAAATACATTAAATGTTTAGTGTCACGCAGGGAATTGTGGGAAAGTCAATTGACATTTTGTTCACTGTGAATTATACTTTCTTCTTTTTCACTTCCAAAAACTGTAAATTTAACAGTATTTTACAGTAAAACTACATTAAATATACCATATCACAGTTATTTACCGTCTATAGTAAGGAAACTTTCTGTTAACCAATTAACAGTTTTTCACTGTAGCATTACTTTTACTGTTACTGTTAACAGTCTTTTACTGTTAAATTCACGATCATTTTTTACAGTGTAGTAATGGATTAAAAGGATTGAGCATTAATTAATTATCAAAATAATCATTTTTTGAATATTAGCATGGCCATATTGCTCCATATTGGCACTCTATTCCATATACTCTACATATCCCCCCTTTTTTAGCACATTTTGGTGCCTTGGAAGGAAGCAACATCTTATATTCATTCAAATATGAATAATCCTCTAATTGGCTGTAATGAAACTGGCTAATGCTGTAGTTGCAGATGGCAAGAGAACGACCCCATGGCCTTTAGAAGCATACTAATAATGACTGACTGATATGAGCAAAATATCGCCTCAAATTATTATAGGAGATAGAGTTCATCCTTAAAAACTGGCTAATTTACGACCGGAGGAAAACATGGAGAGAGTGATCCATCTTCATTAGTTTCTTATCATCTTATTCCACAGCCTCTCCTTCTTCCCTGCCTGCTCCCTGCTATCTCAGTGCTCTATTTTTGGCTCCATGATTTTTTTTGATTTTTTTTTTGCCCCTTTGTCTGTATGTTGTACCAAACCTCTTTTAAATGATTCCCCAATAGCATTTTTACTCATGAAAGTGCGTATCTATACCACGATTGTCATTTCTCTTGGCATTTACACGCCAAAAATGTTTTTTTGCACTGAAAACCCCCTGGGTAGGTTTAGGGGGAAGGGGGGTAGGGAGTTCGTACTTATTATACGCCAAAAAGTGCGCATCATATGCACGCGGAAAACGCGTACCATATACACGGCACGCAAAAACTAGTTTAAATGGCACGAGAAATGACATTCGTGCTATAGATACGAACTTTCATGAGATCGGGCTCATTTTTTCTCTTACCTCTGTGTTAAGGACACTGCATAAAGACATGGCCTTAAAAGAAACCCATATTCTAGATGTTTTGAAACAAAATTGTGGACTTATACACAGATCTATATGACTAACCCTTACCCTAACTCTCAAGGGTTGCAAATTTGGCCTAAACTAAGATGCCACTCATGTAATATGCCTAACCCTAACCCTAACCCTCAAGGGTCGCAAATTTGGCGTTTATTTATTTATTTATTTATTTATTTTATTTGTAGAAAAAGACAAAAGGGACAAGTAAGGGTTAATGCCCGACGAGGTGTCCATTGTCAGGTTTTAATGGACGACGGCGAGGCGTAAACCGGCCGACGCGCAGCGGAGGACGGTTGCCTCCGCCGAAGTCCATTAAAACCTGACAATGGACACCTCGGAGGGCATTAACCCGCTTATACCATGGTCACTTGCCAAATAAAACATTTTTAAAACATTAGTTTATATTTTAATTAGGCTAAATCTAGTTTTTACAAATAATAACTTGACTGACTGTTTATCTAGCAACCGGAGATATTTATAGTCCGCTTAGCTCGTATCCCTTCAGGTTCACAAATGCATTTTTTTTTCATGAAACACAAAGGTAGGCATAGTTTTTTTTATTACACCTAAAACAATTAATCAAACAACAAAAAAACAAAAAAAACAATTAGCTCTGAGCTCCAGCGATTTGCGCTTAACGTTATAGAGGGCAATAAATTAATCAGATCAAAGAGAGGGTCATTTGCCTCAGGCTCCTTAGGCTTGAAACGCTGTAACGTTAAGCCTTCTCCTGCCTTGGTTGTCTGGACAGCTGCGTAAAACTCCCGCAGGGTCTCATTCAGGGGTGCGTTTCCCGAAAGCATCGTTATCCAACTATGGTCGCAAGTTACGTCGTTACCAATAGAGTTCAATGGAACAGAGCAGCAGCGGTGTAATTTTCTCCGTTTTATTTACATTTTTTCTTTCTTCAGCAGCATACCAGTCGTCAAAGTTGCCATATTCTCCATAAATGTTAAAAGAAATAGCACGAAGTCGCTCATTGTTGTATTAGGCTATAATATCTAACGTTAGATGATAGAGCATGTGACTGCCTGTTGCTATGGTTACTCACAGCCGTTGTAGGCAGCGCATTTATTTATTCATTTCGAATGGTAAACAGGCAGTTTCACCAGAACTACTTTACTAGGTGTCCTCTATCACTTTTTAACGGACACCCTGCAGCCAATCAGAATCGAGTATTCACCCAGACCATGGTATAATACATATTAATGAACATTTTTCACAAATGTAAATATGCCAGATTATAGCCATAGGCTAATTTCCATCTGCAGACCCCCCAAGCAGGTAGATGTTACACAAATACATACAGACACACTATGCACAGGCTATATACAGAGAAGCAAGGACAATAACAGTGATCACAACATATTAGGACAAGCCATATTGCACTGACCCCTTTTACACCAACCATGCTATCCTAACTCCTATTACACAACCCATTTCACACTAATAATTCTATCCTCTTTAGTTTTATAAAACACTAACTCTATTTTACATCAGATATGTAGACTACTGATTACTAAACATGCTCACATATTTGTGTGTCCCTCAACCATACTTTTAAACGACTCCTAAAACTTGTGCTTTCCCTCAATGACTGAGGAATACTATTCCAGGAGCTCACCCCCTGGTATGATAGAGCGTTCTGGGAAAACGGCAAGTCCCAGTCCCATCTCATATACACTGTCCGAAAAAAAGGTACAAAAGCTGTCACTGGGGCGGTACCTTTTCAAAAAGGTACACTTTTGTACCTAAAGGGTGCATATTGGTACCATAATTGTACAAATATGTACCATGAAGGTATGCACCAATATGCCTTTAGGTACAAAAGTGTACCTTTTGAAAAGGTACCGCCCCAGTGACAGCTTTCGTACCTTTTTTTCTGAGAGTGTAGTTGCTCTAGTTACTCGAGACCCGACAGCACTGATAGACTTTTGTTTGATATAATCACTTAATGGTGGATTCGCCAGACCATGTATAACCTTATAGATTAGACAGGCTGATTTAAAAAATGTGAAATTCGCTAAATTTAAAAACTTATAAACTAGGCGTAAACTAAGATGCCACTATTATATTATATTGGTAACACTTTACAATAAGGTTCATTAGTCAACATTAGTTAACTACATTAGTTAACATTAGAGCCCGACCGATAAAGGATTTTGAAGGCCAATACCGATACAAATATTTTTTGGTTTTAAAATCCGATATTCCGATATATCGGCCGATATTTTTTATTTATTTATTTTTTTTCCAGAAACGCGCACCAAAACATTAACAGATTTCCCTAACATAGTTATTTGTAGTTATTTATGAGTTTTAACTGAAATAATATGATAAAGCATTTTTAAAAGAAACTTGTTTCTTTTATTGTCACAACAGAACAGAGGAACATCAAAATATATTAAAGTTCTGCTAAATAAAATAATAATTAGTCCCCTTATAAGCTACCTTATAATTACAATTTCAGGTTAGCTAGTCTATGATGAGCCATAATTTAGCAATAACGTCATACTGCAAATTGTAAAACATACATTTTCAATTTAACAGGACAAGGAGAGATGATTGAAGCGTGTTTCGTCTGTTTTTATTTTATTTTTGAAATATTCATTTATCGGCCATTATAACTGCCGATACCGATAGTTTGGAAAATGTCTAATATCGGCCGATAATATCGGCCAGCCGATATAGCGGTCTGGCTCTAGTTAACATGTACAATATGTGAACAATACTTCTTCAGCATTTATTAATCTTTGTTAATATTAATTCCAACATTTACTAATACATTATTAAAATCAAAGGTTGTATTAGTTAACATTAGTTAATGGACTGTGAACTAACATGAATGCACAATGAACAGCTGTATTTATATTAACTAATATTAACAAAGATTCATTAACACTGTAACTAATGCATTGCTCATCGTTAGTTCATGTTAGTTAATGCATTTACTAATGTTAACTAATGAACCTCATTGTAAAGTGTTACCCATTATATTATATTATATTATATTATATTATATTATATTATATTATATTATATTATATTATATTATATTATATTATATTATATACTCCAATTTCCTTCATTGTATTGAATGGCTTCTCACGCCCTGCTGATTCGCAGATGTTATGGAGGGGAAGACGGCCTTACTCCTGGAAATGAGCCAGTGGAACTCCAATGACCTGGTGGAGCAGATAGAAACACTGGGACACCTGGAGCACTCCAGAGGTAAAACCACCAGGGTGTCCTGAAGACATCTCTCCTACATGTTTTTTGTATCATGAACACATATTCATTCTTTAAGACTGAATTTACCAGAAGTTTCTTGATGATGTGATTTATTTAAACTGACGAGTAAAATTGCTGTAAAAACCGTGGATAATCGAAATGCTGCTCCTCCCTAATTAGTTTACTTTACCCTAAACAGCAGTTTCCATTGCAAACAGCTTGTTTGGTGTCTAACTTAAAGTGGGTGAAGGCAGAATCAACAGTGACTAATGCTACAGACGCAGCGTAATCACTGTTTTGCTTCTCTAAGCCGCATTAATACCTCAGGACACGCAGTGACACTACAGCACTATATGACTCTTGTGCAAATTTAACTCCCTTTAGAGAGACACCCCAATGCTGCATGGGAGATTTAGAGTTTCTGTAATGCCGCACGACAGCTACTTTTAAACGAGAAGAAATAGGCAGCTCACTTTTTGACACTCATTTTAGAAAAATGTGTTTCATCAGACTGCGAAATAGTCCTACCAAGACCAATAAGACCAATAAGATTGAGTTTCTCAGCCACAGACGATGAGTTCATCTGCAGTGTTTGCTTTAGTTGTGTTGAGATGTGAGAAAACAGGGTCTTATTAATTCATTTCAATTACAGAGGATTCAAGCATGACCCAATTTATGAATTTCCACTTAAAAAAATGAATTAAACCTTATTTAGAGCCCACAAACAGGACTTGAGTCAAACCCACATTTCCGTTCAATTATACTGTGAATACAAACACACCTGAGCACAGCGGGCTTAAGGAAACACTGGTGACCTCTCACTAATGAACGAGTATTGCACTGAAGCGAGTGAAAGTGAGAGCTGTGGATCACATTTCAGCACTGGGAAAAAAACAATACAAGTTCTGAAAAATAAATAGAATGAGACTTGATTAGGCCAAGAACTACCCAATTTGGCCAGGTTTGTAACAAAAACTTTAGCCACACACGATTTTGGCACACCTCCTTGTGTTAAGTGCAAGTGCAACCCCCTTTTTGCATACCCCGTGGTCCAATAAACAGCACAGACCATGCATTTTTCAGCTTCTTTTTCCCGATGGATGATATCTGACGTCTTCATTATACTTACTGAATGTGTGTGTGTGTGTGCTCAGGCTGTTGTTTTGATTTGTTCTTATTTAACAAGCATCTCCAGCCATCTTCATCAGGCCATCACTGCTGGCGAAATGTAAAATCACAAATGTGAACCCATCTCCTCCAGAGCTAGAATAAATGTAATTATAACTCATTTTACAAATGAACTGTGATTATAATTTATGATGAACCAAACAAGCAGATAAAACTGTACAAATTAGAATAATATCAAGTAGTGTTGATATTAAATTTGCTATTTAGATTGTATTTATGTTTTACTTAATTATATGTTCTGTTACGCAAAAGTATTTAGTCTACAGTGGTGGAGTTTATTCAGCAAAGTAGGTGGCGACAAGTTAACGAGTCATTTGAATCATTCAGGCAACCGATTCATCCATAAGCACTGATTTGTTTAGGAATGAAACACCAATATGTTTTGTTCCTCAGAGACGCACAGCGCTATTTTGGTTTGGAAATAAACTCACCTAAAGGATTATTAGGAACACCATACTTTTTCCTTTTTTTTATGACAGGCTGTGTTGTCTTAGTAATGTCAAGTTGTCATGACAAAGACACTGACAGGTTATGATGTATTGGTTTATGTCAAGGTGTCATAACAAAGACATCTCAAACAATGTCACACTCTTAGAAGAAAAAAAAAATGTAATTAATCAATATCACACGAAGAGTGCCATTTCAGTTTTTATCCTCCAAAAATCTGCATGATTAAAATGTGATATTAAGTTACTACAACAGTTTAATAAACAATAATTTAATTATAACTACAAAATGTTGCAGAATAATGTAATATATGAATGAATAATAGCCTTTATAGAACCTTTGTGACAAAAGGGTTCTTTCTTGTCATTATTGAACCTTTTTTAGCATTAAATATCCTTTGGAGTTGAGTAAAGAACCCTATGCTTAATATATAGAACCCTTTTTTTCTAAGAGTTACATTAAAAATGTCATAATTGAGCAAACACTCTTAGAAGAAAAGGTTCTATCAGCGCTATGTATTTGGAACCCCTAAAAGGTTCTATACACTCTTAAAAAAAAGAGTTCCACTGGGTTCTATATATTTCATACTTGGCCAATAGAACCTTTTTACCAAAAAAATAGTTCTATATAGAACCATTTTGGAGTTCCATATATGAAGCGGGGGATGGAACCATTTCTGGTTCTATATCCACAAGTTTCCGAGGGGCGCTCCTGTAAAAAATAAAGTGGGTGAAACTTCCGGTGACGCGGCGGAAGTAGCATTCCAATGGTGTTTTGTGTGTTAGTTAGCGAAGAGGCTAGCTGTTTTTCGGAGAATTATTTTACTATTTAAAGACGCAAATCTTTATGAGAGATGTCGTTACGGAGCTCAGGGACAACATGTGCTGTTCGCGGTTGTATGTATAACCGGATTAAACTAGTTCAGTGGCTTAAACGGGATTGTTTTGAACATAAGCTGAAAACGAAATCAGAGTGATCCTGCCAACGACTGTAGTTTCCATCACCTCCCAAAAGACGACGAATCTTCCTGTGTACATTTGTTTAAATTCCTAATGTCCTATAAACTCTATCAGCATGTGATTGGCTGTTCTCTACTGATGTTACAGGATCAAAGCCTGTGTTGACAGAATACCAAATGTGCCAGTTAATGTATTCAAGCAGCACATTCATTTATAATTTTGAATAAACTCCAAAGCACAATGACTAAGTGTGTATTTTTTATTTTAATTGTTTGTCAGCTCGCAGATCTGTCTGTCACCATGCCTTGATGAGTATTGATTATTAATAATGTTATTATAATACTCCCAATCAACTACTGCGGAGGGTAAAGGCACTGTTATTTCACCCTTTTGAATTTCGTTGAGGTTGTGTTCCCACATCGTTAGCTAGTTTGGATCGCTATAACTTGAATGACAACTGTTGAATGAACGAGTGTTAAGCATGTCAAATCGCGCTTTGTTTACTTCCAACCGGAAGTCGCGCCCACTTTTGACGCAAGGCCTCATGGGGCGTAGGAAACTTGTGGATAGGACCATTTCTTCTAAGAGTGAATGACACTTTGTCATAAACATGCATAAAACCTCCTTCATATTCATAACAAACATCATGTCATGATTATGAAGGTGTCTGTTAGTCTTATGCACACCCCTTCAAGTAAAGTGTTACCCAAAAGCTTTACCTATAAACAAACAGAGGAAGTAAATAGATCAATTATATATTTATTAAATAGATAAATGGATAAATAAACCGGGGAAGAGAGAACTAGGTTCCTCTTCGAGAAGTACGACTGTCATCAATGAGATGGATGGTTTGAGGTGGAGATTGCAGAGCACCATGAAGCTCTCTCTGTCTCTCATTGGCCACTAGAGAGCCTGTACAGGCTGCGGCATCCTCGGTGTGCGCCGCAGAGCAGCGTGGATGGTTTGGAAGACATGGAGGTTAGTCCTCATTCTAATTCTAATTACATTGAATTATCCTTTCAGTTTGGACTCATTTCGTCTCTTTCCCCCTCCTGCAGAGGAAATGCAGGACACAATTACTCATCCTGGTGATTCACGGAGGTCATATCTTGGATTCTGGAGGCGGTGACCCTGGAGGGAAGGCGGGCGATGCTGCCACTTTGGCGTCCGTGTTGGAGCGTGTGGCTCGGGCTCACTTCCAAGCGTCAGCAGACAGCATGCTGGTCAGACTGGTGCCCTGCACGCCCGTGTGTGCTGATGCCTTCTCCCTGGTGTCAAAGTAAGATGTTGAAGACCAAATATGCTAATTCTTCGTAATGATTATGCTCATGCTAGCTCGGTAACTCCTCAGTTAAAGTTTAGCCTTGGATGGGGTTTCAGTGTCACGAAATACTAACTTTCACCTGACAATTTAATGATGCACTTACTCATTTAAAGTGTCTGGTTTAGCACTGGTTTTCACGAGACTCAAGAAATGGCTGTGGAAAAGTGGGAGTGTAGAAGTTGGAAAGAGGGGAGACAACAACCAATAAATCATTATACAGACAAATGAACAATAAAATGTGAGTGGAGAAAAAATGGTGAAGTATATAAAATATGTCCATAAAAACGTGAAACATGCTTTATTGAACTTTATTCTTGTACAAACAGATGCTGTATTAAAGGAGTAGTTCACTTTTCAAAAAACTTTTGCTGATAATTTTCTCACCCCCATGTCATCCAAGATGTCCATGTCTTTCTTTCTTCAGTCGAAAAGAAATTAAGGTTTTTGATGAAAACATTCCAGCATTTTTCTCCATATAATGGACTTCAATGGGAACCAAACGATTCAAGGTCCAAAAGACACTTTCAGTGCAAACTGCAAACTGTTCAAAGGGCTTTAAACGATTCCAGACGATGAATAAGGGTCTTATCAAGTGAATCGATCACTCATTTAAAAAACAAAGTTTAAGTTTTATAAGCTCAAATGGTCGCTTGCTCTGTTCTGTGACGCTCTCCATCACAGTGACTCTCCTGTTCGAACTCGTTCATCAAAACGAACAAATCTTTTTCCGAGTCAATTCGTTCGTTTTGTTCTTTGAATGAACCAAATGACTCGAGTTCGAATGAGTTCGAACAGGAATGTCGCGAACGTGCATCACAGAACAGAGCAAGGCGAGCATTTGAGCTTATAATACTTAAACTTTGTTATTTATTTTTTAAATAAGCGATCGTTTCACTTTATAAGACCCTTATTCATCATCTGGAATCGTTTAAAGCCCTTTGAACAGTTTGCACTGAAACTGTCTTTTGGACCTTGAACCGTTTGGTTCCCATTGAAGTCCATTATATGGAGAAAAATCCTGGAATGTTTCATCAAAAACCTTAATTTCTTTTCGACTGAAGAAAGAAAGACATGGACATCTTGGACGACATGGGGGTGAGTAAATTATCAGCAAAAGTTTTTCAAAAGTGAACTACTCCTTTAAGCAGTAAATAAAGTATTGAATGAGAATGCCTCTGAAACATATGTGTATTTATTTCACTTCAGCTGTGGTAAAGTGTGCAAACACAGCTACAGAAAGCAGAAAGTGTCCGACTTCACGTCTCCGTTACATCCAGCCGATGTCGAACACACCTATTGATAATGAGACGGTTCTTCTCAGTGAGTCAAAACCATACAGCATGAGAAATATTGACCAACCAATTCCCAAACTAAGAGCTAGTACTTTTTAGTGAATAAACCATGCTGCATGACCAGTGTAGTCCAACCGATTCCCATGCAAGCAAATTATTCTGAGCCAATTCTTTTTAGTGAATCAATCTTACACAGCATGCAGTGTAGTCCAGCTAATTACCAAATAAATGAATCTTCATAGTGAATCAAAATCACACAAAATGATGGTTCTTATTAGCGAATCAAACGTATACGGTTCAAGACCCTTATTTTTAGATTTTTTTCACAAATTTGTAAAATTTTCTACTAAAATGTTTGCATTGCATTCCCCACACACACACACCTCCCACACCTATTCCTTAAGATGTCCATTCCAATCCTTTATTGACTGTGTCCAAGATTCCAAGATTTTAGAATCTGTCTATTTAAAATGTCTAATTATGTTCACAACTGACAGTTAAATGAACCTATTGATCTGCCCTTTGGAGTCATGCTAAGCTCCCGGCACGAACATTTCCTTTCAGACTGAATGAAAATGTCTTCTAAAGACTTTGTAACCCTGGGGGGAAATCATCATTTATATGTAAAGCGTTCAGTTGTTTCCAGAGAACCACAAAGGTTAATTTATTTCCATTAAATGATAAAATACATTTCTTCATACAAACAAATCAAAATGTGTCAGAATTACACGTCTCTATCAGAAACACTGGAGCAGGAGCACACAAGGCCACACGCCCAGTTAAAGCACAATGAATTTTACATGATGACATTTTCGTTGTAGCCTCTTGCCAGTTTTCCATTTCTAAGCTGATGGGAACATTCAGACAAGAATTAGACAAAAAATAAAACTCATTGCTCATTAAAAGGGCTTAGTTATTAGTTATTTGTTCCGTCTATTTTAAAGGACCTGTTTAGCAATCAATCTGTGTCTGATCTTCCATCATTAGGAATAGCTGTCGCTGTTGATGTAGGCAAAAAGAAATCATTAAACATTTTTTTTTTCAGCTCCGCTCTATTAATCAAACCACCACATTCTGTGACAGGAAACTGGCCTGATTAAAGATAGAGGAGCTTTAGTATGTTAATTAGACATCCTGCTCTTTCAGGTATCCAGACAGGGATGACCTGATCTCCGCCTCTGAACTGTCCTTTAAAGCACATTTAGCTAAAAATACATCTAAATCAATCTGCATATCAAATGTATAGGCAACATTCGGTATCTCACTCTTAGAAAAAAGGGTTCTGTATATGTAGCATAGGGTTCTTTACTCAACTGCAAAGGTGATGATAATGACAAGAAAGAACCCTTTTGGCACAAAGGTTCTTTAAAGGCTATTATTCATTCATATATTACATTATTCTGCAACATTTTGCAGTTGTAATTAAATTATTGTTTATTAAACTTTTGTAGTAACTTAATACTTAACCTGTTAACTGTCACCCCCCCTTTTTTGAATAGACATGAAAATGCACATTTCGAACTTAAATGGTTGTAATTCAAGAATGCTTTGGAATATAGACATATGATTGGTCTTGTTTTAAAGAAGACATTTGGCAGATTTTTGTAGAAGTGAAATAAATTAAGAAAGTGAAATAGAAAAAAGTTATAGAGGTTTGAGTTTATGGAAATGTACAATGCAAAAATATTAATTATTCATATTTTACATAAAATATATATTTTCAAAACCTGGGCTACTCTAAAATGGCAGAAAATTCAAAGCCAAAAATCTGAACAAGTTGTGTTTCAAATTTTAGGTTGATATCTCAAAAAATGAGCTTTCAGTAAGATTTTGTTTGGGTGCAGTACCAAACTTTTTCACTAGGGCACAATCAGACTCCATTACTGCCCATATAAGGGCGCCTGCATTTCCATTCGTGTTTTGAGTGATATGAACCATTATTTTCACAATTTTCATACAATTTCTGAAGTAGAGATCCTATTCAGAAGTAGCATGGGAAGTTTGGCAGATTTTGATATGAATTGAACCTCTAAGAAACACATACAAAGAACACGCATGTAAGTCATAGCTAGCTGCCACGTCACAAATGGTGAATTTATTATTTTTTTCTTGATATTTCAAACTTTTCAGACCTTTTTTTTCCAAAATAATTGAATGGATTCTATCTTTTGAACTTTTGGCATGAAAACAAACTGAGGTATCTACCATTTTTTCATGATTTTTCATGTTTACTGCTATTTTAAAATAAAGGTCTGAACACGCCTTATGAGTATGAAAATATTATTGTTTTATATTGATAAATTATGGCTCCTCTGTAATATATTTTGAAAATCAGTCACCAAATATGGAAACTAGAGATTGTAAGCTTTCAAATGATATATAGTTTGTCAATATTATTTAAGGTATTTACTAAGATATTATTGTTTTAAAAATATAGTGGCAAACTTCCCACCTGTGCACGGTGACAGTTAAATATAAATTTTACAATACTTAATGCACTGGTACTTAATTATCTATAAAGCTATTTTGGGGTTGTTGCCTTCTTATCTCTGTTGTTTTATGCAGCAGGAAATTATCAAAAATTATTCTCTTCGCTCGCAAAACTTCTATATATTCTCTCTGTCCCTTTTGTGCGAACTGAGTTAGGTAAGAAGTCTTTTATGTATGCAGCGCCGTTTGATGGGAATGCCCTGCAAACTAAATTAAAATTAGAAAATTTGTTGACTCTAGACCGTTTTAAATCAGTTATCCAGCTCACATATTATATATATCACATTTTAATCATGCTGATTTTTGGAGGATAAAAACTGAAATGGCACTCTTCGTGTGATATTGATTAATTGCATTTTTTAACCCCCATATCTTGAATTTTGTGATCATTCACATGCATTGCATTTTAGGGGTTCCAAATATGTAGCGCTTTAGCACCTTTTAAGGTTCTATATAGAACCTTTTCTTCTAAGAGTATCTGAATAACATGACGATGACATTAAAGCTGCAGTCTGGTGTTTTTCCTCTTTGTCGCCATCTCTGTTCGAAATCTGCAATTGCAGTCATTTGCGGAATTATCAACTTTACGTGAGTTGTACTTCAACACCATCGACACGGCACAGCGTGGATGAACACGATGTTTGAGGAGAGTGTGTGTGTCAGTTATCGCGCCGGTGTGGATACTGGCATTCGGAATCAAAGATTATTATTTTTCGAAGTATGTCCAACATAAGAATTTTCACCGGAAAATGTGATCTGAACTAGTAAGAAACATCCACTTTTGTTCTGGTTCGGACTTTGCATTAAATCTATCAATCGCTTTTAAGTTATCATATCACGCAAAACCGTTATTGTTAGAACAAGTGAATCTGTTGTCACTGGTGATTGTCATTTGAACCTTTCTGGATTCGCCATCAAATTAAAGGAGTAGTTCACTTTTGAAAAGACTTTTGCTGATAATGTACTCACCCCCATGTCATCCAAGATGTCCATGTCTTTCTTTCTTCAGTCGAAAAGAAATTAAGCTTTTTGATGAAAACATTCCAGCATTTTACTCCATATAATGGACTTACCAAACGGTTCAAGGTCCAAAAGAAACTTTAAGTACAAACTGCAAACTGTTCAAAGGGCTTTAAACGATTCCAGATGATGAATAAGGGTCTTATCAAGTGAATCGATCGCTCATTTAATAAATAAATAACAAAATTTAAGTTTTATAAGCTCAAATGCTCGCCTTGCTCTGTTCTGTGTGACTCTCCTGTTCGAACTCGTTCATCAAAATGAACGGATCTTATTCATCAAATCTTTTTCGAGTCAATTCGTTCATTTGGTTCATTGAATGAGTTCGAACAGGAAAGTCACAAACACTCATCGCAGAACAGAGCAAGACGAGCATTTGAGCTTATAAAACTTAAACTTTGTTATTTATTTATTAAATGAGTGATCGTTTCCCTTGATAAGACCCTTATTCATCATCTGAAATTGTTTAAAGCCCTTTGAACAGTTTGTAATGAAAGGACCTTGAACCGTTTGGTCCCCATTGAAGTCCATTATATGGAGAAAAATCCTGGAATGTTTTCATCAAAAACACTTTTTGAACACTGGCTGGTTATGTTTTTTTTTTTTTCCTCAAATATGTATTTTGGATCATTTTTAATCCCAAAAAAGACTGCAGCTGTAACATCAGACAATGTACAAGATGTATAGACATTGAACAACAGTAGAACTATATATAATGTCACTGGTTGTTTTGGTTTCATGTTGTTTCATTATTATTGATATAACTATTATTCATGTCACTACTGTAATCTTGTCATGGTATTTCCTTTTCTATTCTTGTGATCCTGCCATTTGTTTTGTCTTTTCATTGGTTAATTGTCTCGATTGTGTTCACAGGTGTCCCTTGTCTTGTCATTTAGCCTTGTGTATTTACCGTCATGTTTGCCTGGTTCTTTGTCAAGTATTGTTTGTGTAACCTCTGTCGGGTGAGTGCCATGCCATGCCTTTTGTATCTAGTTTGTTGAATAAACTGCACTTGGGTTTGTCAAGCTCGCCTCCTGTGGAATGATTACATATAACCGCACAAGATAGTAGTATACTAACCTTAACCACTCTTGAAAAGCATTAGATAACAAAATAACACCAACAATAACTTTCATAACACTGTGGAAAAACTATGTACAAAAAAATAGTATATTCTCGGTCAAAAGAGTTAACCCACTGCATGCCGAGTATACTTTGAATACTTAATTTTACTTTTAGGTATCTTGATCAAAAGATTAAGTTCAAGTACAGGCCAAATAAAGACTTTTCTCTCAGTATAAATCAAGAATTTACACTTAAGTGTAATTTGAAGTATATTTCTGAGAAGTACATAAAGAATATTTTTTTTAATAAAATGTTGACTGGAAGTATGCTCTCTTATTTTTAGTTGAAAATAATAAGTATACTAATAGAACACTTAATAAACTTATTTTTCGTAAGGGGCATCATCACATGGGGCAGGTGATCAAAATTAACATCAAATGGGTGCTAAAGGACGTCCTTGGTGATACAGTACATAAAATTGAAACTTTATGTAAAAATGTCCACTCCTATTCAAACATAATTTTGTCCTATCAATAATTTTCTCTTTTGTCTGCCTGTAGTTTGAATCCATACAGCTACGATGAAACCTGTGTGTCCAGCAGTGTGGATCATTTGCCGCTGGCCGCTCTTCCCATACTTGCTATCGCTGCCCCTCATTACCAGAATGCTGTCGCTGCAGTCATTGCTCAGGCCAATCAGGTTTACCGAAACTTCCTTCAGTCCCCAGAGGGTGTGGGCTTCACAGGACAGGTAAACACATTGGTTATTGGCCAATATTAGTAATATATTAGGGCTGGGTATTGAGACAAATTTTTCTCAAGGGAATCAAATCTCTTAAATGCTGTAAACTATGGTCTATATAGTCTAGTTGTAGCCTACTAGGCTTCATTAGCCTAATATGAAGGTAATAATGAACTGTTTTGTAGCTATACAAACACTTAAATTACACTTTTATTTATTTTTATAATAAGAAGATTATATGAAATATAAACATTTAAATGGTGGCTGTCATAAAAACTTGCCAGATTTATTCAAATATGCATTAAATATTGAAGAACACTAACGAGTGTGGACTAACGAGTTTATGTGGAGTTTTCTGAGGTAAATATGACGATACATGACATTGATTACAAGCTGTTTAACTGACGTCCTTCCACGGTTGAAACGCAGATTGAGCGAATCAATGTGACATGATAGGGATTTAGATAAGTTGTACTCTTTTAACACACTTTCAGATGCTCATTCATGTTTATTTGGCGCTGTAACTGGTATTATTAACCCGGAAGAGAGATCAGCGCTGCTGCTTCTCTGGAGCTGCTCCAGAGCGATCTCACGCCACAGCGCCAAAACGGCAAAACGCAATTTATGTTTTTGAATTTCTAAAGAAAATGGACGTAATTTGAAAATTGAGACTTTGTTTCATATCAATAGTAACAAAGGACAAAGATTATTGCGATTTGTTGGATGCGCGCAGCCGCGATACAATAGCTGTGTCTGAAACCGCTCACTCGTTCACTCATTCACTAATCCCTATATAGTGTATGGCATTTGAGTGCACTATATCTGCAAGGAGTGAAGGAGATGAAGTGAGTGAATTCGGACGCTGACGTTTACACTGTGCGTCGGAGAGTTGGAGCTGTCGCAGAAAAGGCTTCGTCACGCATACTGATAAAACTCCTTTTATCTTACATTACCTACTTTATAAAATAATATTAACAACAATAACAATCATAATGACTTTATTTTGTAATTATACCTCCGTGCCAGCTTTGTAGTTTCATCGACTGAAATTGTACATTAACTCTCACGTTCACAGATGACGTGTCGTCGAGCGCCCTCCGGCGACCGTTATTATGTTCAAAACGACGATTAACGGACATTTTTCAAATCCTCCACTGGATGTAATGTAATCTCTGGTTTAAACTTGCTCGCGCCGAACTTTCATGCGCGCTCAGTTCTCTCCGCATTGGATTGTGGGAAATAGAGCTGTGTCTGAAATCGCTCCCTATCCACTAAATAGTGCACTATATCGGGTGTCGGCCATTTTGTAGTGGTGTCCGAATTCTGAGTGAACGACATCATTCCCTACATTCATTCACTACTTTTACCCACAATCCTCTCTGAATTCGAGTGTACATTCGATGTACACTCGCTGAAGCCCTATTTCCCACAATCCAATGCGGAGAGAACTGAGCGCGCATGAAAGTTCGGCGCGAGCAAGTTTAAACCAGAGATTACATTACATCCAGTGGAGGATTTGAAAAATATCCGTTAATCGTCGTTTTGAACATAATAACGGTCGCCGGGGGCGCTCGACGACACGTCATCTGTGAACGTGAGAGTTAATGTACAATTTCAGTCGATGAAACTACAAAGCTGGCACGGAGGTATAATTACAAAATAAAGTCATTATGATTGTTATTGTTGTTAATATTATTTTATAAACTAGGTAATGTAAGATAAAAGGAGTTTTATCAGTACGCGTGACGAAGCCTTTTCTGCGACAGCTCCAACTCTCCGACGCACAGTGTAAACGTCAGCGTCCGAATTCACTCACTTCATCTCCTTCACTCCTTGCAGATATAGTGCACTCAAATGCCATACACTATATAGGGATTAGTGAATGAGTGAACGAGTGAGCGGTTTCAGACACAGCTTAGGGCTTCAGCGAGTGTACATCGAATGTACACTCGAATTCAGAGAGGATTGTGGGTAAAAGTAGTGAATGAATGTAGGGAATGATGTCGTTCACTCAGAATTCGGACACCACTACAAAATGGCCGACACCCGATATAGTGCACTATTTAGTGGATAGGGAGCGATTTCAGACACAGTCTCATTCATACAAATGAAACAGGATGACTAATCGATTCTTGAGATTTAAGAATCGATATCGGTTTGTAAAAATGAGAATCGATTAATATCGAGAAATCGATATTTAATACCCAGCCCTAATATATATATATATATATATATATATAAATGAATCACCAAATTTTACCAATCGATTTGCATAACAGCTTGAGGCAAGAAAAATAAACGAATATCACAGACAGCATGATTTTGTACATCTTATATATTTCCTTGCAAGAATGTGGCCCCTACCAAACTTGTACACGCCGTTTAGAAGTTAAAACACCAGTAAACTTTATTTTGACGATAAACGGAGGACAATATAGCTTCCATAACGTAGTAGTAAGGCAGACAAAAAAACAAAGAGATAGGCTAGTATGCAAGCAATATAACGTACTTACTAGTTACTAGTTAGAATTTAACGCGTTCACTTTCTCTTTTTGCTTTCGTCCGATAAAGCCTTTGCTTTCTTGTTTTTCTGTGCTGCTTCGGCCATGACTATAAGATTTGTCTCGCACGTCCGATTTTAAGGAAGTGAGGGTGGTGGTGGAAGTGACGTATATGCCGTAAATCAGTCGAATTTTGCAGTTCTCTTTGTTCGCCGGGTTACTACCCGAAACCCGAAGTTTAAAAGTAGGATTAAAAACGCTACAGACCCCGTCAGGCTATGGCAGACGTGTCATTCAACCTATTGTAAGTTGATGTACCATCACAAGAGACTTGGAAATATATTATGAAGGTTGAAAAGTTACCTGGTGTTACTATGTAATAACTCAAATAATCTTCAAATGCTTGTTTCAGGTGTGCCTGGTGGCAGACTGTGTTGGCGGTGTCCTTTGTTTTGACGCCTTGTGTTTCAGTGGTGACAAGCAACATAGAAGCCCTGAGGGTGGCAGCAGCAACAACAGCACAGAGAGTCTAAAGGTACAGAGGAACATGCACACAAAACAACCCTGAACTCCTGCCTTTGAAGTCATTCTCTCTTCATCATATTACTGCCCTTCAAAGCTTTTTTGTATGTTCTCATATCTAAATGTCATATGACATTTTCCCGTTCCCATTTGTCTCCTCATCAGCTCTCTCCCTGTCTTTGAGGATTAGTTCACCCAAAAAATAAAAATGTTATTGCGACCCCATATTATTATGATTATAATATTATTTTTGCTCTGTCCAGATTTTGTGTGTCTACTGTTTGCAACCGTTATAGATTCCCTGTCACCCTGTCTGTCTGAGCTACTTGGTGCTGACAGTTTAATAAAAGTGCAGTCATCTGTGCAGTGCCAGTGTGTGATAAAAGGGCACCACATGGCACATCAGTTGATGAACAGATGCCTCGGAAACAGTAGAACAGAGGCAAAAAAATAGTTCAGGGCTCAGAGTCACAAAAGCCGCTTTTCCATTGCCCTTAAAATTGTAGCGCAGTCTCATCCCAAGACGTCATATAACTGATGTCTTGGGACGTCTTTTGGCCATATAGTACGTCAACATCCGCCGTTTTAGGGTACCCTTTAACGTCGGTTAGATGACCTTATCGGATTATAACCCTACACCAGACCTAAACCTACCCCTAAACCTATCCCGTCACCTAACTGACGTTAAAGGTAAAGCGTCAGTTGTATGACGGCCCAGGATCATCATGTAACTGACGTTAAAGGGTATCCTAAAACGGCGGATGTTGACGTATGGTCAAAAGACGTCGATGAGACTGTTAAAAATAGCACAAATTGAAATTGTGAATTGAAAATACGCACAATGGAAACACGTCCATTTCGCAAAAAAAAGTTTTTACGCTCGCATGAGGAGGTTTTTCAGGCAATTCGAAAAAAAGGAATATTTTGCAAAACTGCAATGGAAACAGGTTTTGCGCATTTACAGTCACCTGACTTAGAAGACGCGGCGTGTTTGTGGTCCGTGTCCGCAAATAATAATAATTATTATCAGCATTATTATAACATTTATTTGGCTACATATGGAGAAGACGCTTTTGTACAAAAAAGGAACTAAAGTAATTTGTCACATCTCATTCGTAAGGGTTGGACAATATTAATTCAGGGCTAAGATTATCACAAATAAACACAAGATTTTGACATACACTACCGGTCAAAAGTTTTAGATCGGTAAGATTTTTTATGTTTTTAAAAGAAGTCTCTTCTGCTCACAAAGGCTGCAATTATTTGATTAAAAAACAGTAATATTGTGAAATATTATTATAATTTAAAACAGCGGTTTTCTATGTGAATATATAGTGACGTGTAATTTATTCCTGTGATCAAAGCTGAATTTACAGCATCATTACTCCAGTCTTCAGTGTCACATGATCCTACAGAAATTATTATAATATGATGCTCAAGAAACATTTATGATTATTATCCATGTTGAAAACCGTTTTTTACATTTTTATTTTAATAGAAAGTTCAAAAGAACAGAATTGATCTGAAATGGAAAGCTTTTGTAACATTAATCACTACCATTCAAAAGTTTGGGGTCAGAAAGAATTTATTTTTTATTTTTGAAAATACTTTTATTCATCAAGGATGAGTTAAATTCATCAAAAGTTACAGTAAAGACATTTATAATGTTAGAAAAGATTATATTTTAAATAAATGCTGTTCTTTTGAACTTTCTATTCATCGTAGAATTTTTTGGGAAAAAAATGGTACACGACTGTTTTCAACATTGAAAATAACAATTTATGTTTTTTGAGCATAAAATCAGCCTATTAGAATGATTTCTGAAGGATCATGTGACACAGAAAACTGATGTGTAATCGGCAACAGTAATGATGTTGAAAATTCAGCTTTCAAATTACATTTTAAAATATATTAAAATAGAAAACAGTCATTTTAAATTGTCATAATATTTCACAATATTACTGTTTGTTTACATTTTTTTTTTTCATAAAATAAAGCAGCTTTGGTGAGCAGAAGGGAATTCATTTGAAAACATAAAAAATCTTACTGATCTAAAACTTTTGACCGGTAGTGTATATCCAAGTGTTTGCGAACACTTGCATTTTCCCATTAACATTTCAATTTCGAGAAAATGAATGGGGTTTATACTTCTTTCATTTCTAATAATTTATCATAACGTTGTTTGGCAGTCTTGTTCGACTACTATAGTAATTCTAGATATCTTCGTTTGTAAATATGAAAACAGATTCCATGGTGTGAATTTTTTTGTAAGGAAAAAAGGTAATAAGGAAGCAAGATGACAACCACAACCGCTGAAAACTGATAATGAGGAACATGTACAACTGACTTCGGTGTCGGTTGTCTTTATGTTTCAGGAGAAGCCATGTGCGGTGAACTCGCTGAGTCCCACTCTCCGAGGCAGCAAGCGCCTGAGTAAGAGCAACATTGATGTGTCAACCCCGTGTGATCCGCTGTCTGGAGTCCCCTATCCACTCACCCGAAAGCAAAGTGACTCTTGTGATGCAGACGTGGCCAGTGGTCAGTGTGATGTCTTTATCAGCAGGTGAGATGTGGATTTGTTCATTGCTTCACTGACATGTGTTGACATTTTAGTTACTGATTATTCCCTCAGGAAGAAAAGCTTCCCAATATGTCTGATTAAACCTAAAACCTTTCAATCATTTCATTAATTTAGTTGAAGCGAATGTGTTCATGTTTGTCATGTCTTGGAGTGCATGGCTGGAGCAATTTCTCAATATTAAAAACTAAATATTATATTACTGAAAAATTATATATTTTTTTCCATGTCTGATTAAAATGCTTGAAGCAAAACACGTTTTCTTGGGAATATTCTTGTAAATGGTAATGCATTTATAGTTTTCCTTCGTCTTCATCACTTACCCTGCAAGTCTATTGTAATGTCCTTTAACAAATGACACAGTTTTAATGATTTTAATAAAATAAAATCTTAATTTTAATATTACATTTTTTAATCTCGCAGGGACTGCACAAAAATAACAAATTGTGATTTTTTTTTTTTTGTATTATTATTATTTTTTTATATTTAGTTGGTTTGTCGCACTTTAAAACATTATATCCGGATTCATAAAATCACAGAATTCATTTCAAAAGACTGGTGTCAAAATTCTCATTTACATGTTTATAAATACGCTTATACACTGTAAAAATGAATATGCTTTATCTAATCAATATAATTGTGGCAACAGATTACAAACAATATTATTAATTAAATTTAACAAATTAGAATTGAGTAATAATTAATCAAAGTATTCCTTAAAAGTGAACCATGTAAAATGAGTAAAGTTTACACCTAAAAAATTAACAAAAATATCTCACTAACAGACAGACGTCAAAGATTAATTAAGAACTCTTTATTTTATATTGCCAACATTGAAGCAGAATCACTGAAGGAGAAAACGGTAATTTTAAAACAAACCTAAAACAAACACTGATCACCATAATGGTGACTTAAATTTATGTTTGTTTGTTTTTTGATTGTTAAGATGAGTAATGAGTAAGTTTTACTAAAAAAGTAAAATGAGTTTTACTCATTTTAAATGGTTAACTTTTAAGGAATTAATTTGATTAATTATTACTCAATCCTAATTTGTTCAATTTAATTAATAATTTTGATTAGATAAAGCATATTCCTTTTTACAGTGTACAAGCATATTCACGTTGGTATAGAAATAAACATAAATAGAAACACAAGGAATTGAATAAACAGTCTGTGGTATTTGAGACGGTTTTATGCAGATCATAACGATGAAATGAAAGCATGCATGGAATGTCATGAATGCTAATGAGTCATTCAGTTACATTGTTCAGTTTACAGATAAAGTAGTGTCTGAAATAAAAAAAACTGTAACAGTTGGGAGTCAAAAAACAAAAAAGTCATTTGAATTAATTGCTAATTGATGTGTTTGCCCTGTTTTTATTTAGTTTTCAGTGTCCTTGTCATCAGTATTGTTATTCCATAGCTGTATGTTCTGCACCTTTGCTGTTTCCCGCTCTCTGTTCCAGATCTGCATCAAGACATGCCATCCAAGCTGTCCTCGAACATCCCCTCATTAATCATCTCCAAACAAAAAAATTTTTACATTTTATTTTATTGTCATCATTTCAATGTCATGTTGATGGTTCTGGAGGGGTTATTACAGCCCCAGTTTATCCTAATTTATTGTAAAGCTGAACCCCCATACTGCCACACCAAATGTTGTAAATTAACAACAATAAATCATGTGGTCCTCCTACTTGTTTCTAAAGTCTTGGGGGAACATGATGACATCAGCATAAAACGAAAGCATTAATTCTGATTAATCATTAACAAAGTGTTAATAATAAATGAAGATAACTGGCTGTCTCACAGTCTGTCCCAGGATGATCAGTGTGACTCCAGGCAGGCTCTCCATCCAGGCTGCTTTGAGTTTGAAGTGTCAGATTGCTTTCTGCTGGGATGCCCACTGGGGCTGGTGCTCGCAATGAGGAGGACAGTTTTACCTGCCCTTGATGGTACAAATCAGCTTCCCTTTCACACACACGCACTCAAATTGTTTATTTTCAAGGAAAAAATATTTTATCCAAATAATAAATGTGATTTATCTTTAAAATTTGATGATAAAATTTGACTCTCATCTCTATTAGTGGCACAGCTCCGACCAGCTTGTTCTCAGATTTTTAATCTGTTCTACCCGTCGGACCCCTCGGCCTCACGTCTGGAACCTTTGCTGCACCCAGTCCTCACCCACCTCCCCCCGTTTCCTGTTTCCCGTTACCAGCGGTACCCTCTGGGAGACAGGCGCTCCACTCTCATTGGTAAGAGCTTTCTCGCAGGCTCCCCAGCTCGCATCGCTCAAGTAAATAGGGCTAAATTGGGGTTTTAAAAAAGCACACAACAGTATTACATATCACTGATGCTAAAGTTGCCTAAAAAGAGGAATAAAAAATCATCTTTTGGATATTGATCTTAATGCCTTAATTAGAAAAATGAGGAAAACTCCAACCTTTAAGGACACAAATTTTCTTTGTGAATGAATAATGTATCATAAATCATATAGGGTGCATACTGTAAGTCATTGCCCCCCTATGTTAAATTCCCATAGAGTCAGGCAGATTTTTATTTTTAAAAGCCAGTTATTTCATGGATCCAGGATAATATGCATCCTGATAAAGTTCCCTTGACCTTTGGAATTAAAATATCCCCACATCATCACACACCTTCCACCACACCTAGAGATCGGCATGGTTTTACTTCAGTTAGCCTAATAGCTGGTTTGATTTGCATTGAAAGATGATCTTATGGAAAGTACCCCATTTTAATATTTATTATATTAAATATTAATATAATTATATTATATTTTAATTCCAAAGGCCAAGGGAACTTTATCAGGATGCATATTATCCTGGATCCATGAAATAACTGGCTTTTAAAAATAAAAATCTGCCTGACTCTATGGGAATTTAACATAGGGGGGCAATGACTTATGCACCCTGTATTGTAAGGAAAAACATTTATTTATTTATGATGCATTATTCATTCACAAAGAAAATTTGTGTCCTTAAAGGTTGGAGTTTTCCTCATTTTTCTAATTCAGGCATTAAGATCAATATCCAAAAGATGAATTTTTATTCCTCTTTTTAGGCAACTTTAGCATGGGGGCCAAAACTTATTCACACCACTCTAAATCATAGAATTAAAAAGTTTAAAATCTTGAGCTTGTTTTTGCGCCATTATTTAACACCCCAAAAATGTACATGCAAAAAGCATATCTGTTTTTCTTTGAGCTTTCACATTTGTGCATAATTTCTTTATAATTTTATCCCTCGAAGCAGACACCGTGCTCAGACACTTGTCAGACAGCAGTCCATCTGTGGACGGACACATAGAGCAGTGCTGTGGAGGAAGTGTGTCTCGCAGGGGCAGCGATCGGGTTTTTCCACTCGGACTCGCCCGCTCTGATGCCGAAGGGTCTGAAACTGCCCCGAGCGAGCCTGTTAGCATCTCAAACAGTGAGTCTCAAGAGCACTGCATGTCCTTGAATCTGGTGCTTTCAGGATGTTCATGTTTAAATCATTACCTCAGGGATTTTGATGCATGTGAAGATATAGGCTCATCTGCATGTGTGGTTCAGGCTTGTATGACACAAATCCTCTGTTTTCTCTCTCTCTCTCAGTATGTAGTCGGTGGTGGGGGTCGAAGCGGTTAGATTACGTGCTATACTGTCCAGATGTGCTCACCACCTTTCCCACTATAGCACTGCCTCACCTGTTCCACGCCTCATACTGGGAGTCAACGGATGCTGTCGCTTTTATTCTTAGACAGGTAAGTGACAGTTCTTGGCTCTACTATAAGGGTTGTATTAACCAAGTATTAACATCCATCTTGGGTTATCTGAAGTGTGGGTAGCGGGAAATGCTGGTGTAAATGTCCTAAACCACTTTTGGACCACACTGCATACAGTATGTAGTGTAAACCAGTGATTGCCGGTCCGTGAACACGTTAGTACAGGCCTTGAAATATTCCCAGAATTTTTTTTTTTCCCCATAATAATATTTGTGTTTTTAAGATGCTTTTTAATGTGTCATGTTATTTAATACAAAACACAAACAATAAATGAATACAATAAATAAAAATATTAAAACGTGTTTCTTTGAGCGCCTTCCGATTGCTTAGCAACGCGTCATATCTAAACAGACTGAGCGCGGCGAGTGCATGGGTGCGTGCAGCTGAAGTGACAGAAGTGCGGAGAGATGAAAGGGCTCAGCAGACTTTAATGGCTCATTTCATTGCGGACAGTTCCGGTAAAAGGAAAGGCGATGACCAACTTGAAATATAGAGAAAGAAAAAGAAAAATCAAGCTTCAATCGTAAATACGATACCTCATACATACTGTAGGTCACGACTAGGGTTGGGTATCGTTTGAATTTGAACGATTCTGATTCCGATTCCTTGTTTCGATTCCGGTTCCTAACGATTCTCGATTCCGATTCTTTTAAGAGGCAGGGACAAAAAAGTTAAGCTAACCTTGCTAACCAACGCTCTTTCTGAAGGAAATAATCCTTTCTGAAGGAAATACTCCTTCTGTAAAAATACTCTTTTTGTCACAAATTTTGTCCGAGATTTCGTTATTTTTAGAAAAGTGAAGCCACACTTCGGATCGCCGGCGTAAGGTACTCATGTTCGACTCACGTGGTTATGCCAACACTTCCGGTAGACGCTTCTTCGTTGGTGTTGTTCAGCGGTTTCTTCTTCCGGTCGGCGGACTGTGAATATCGAAACTAGGAATCGAAATTTTAACTTTTGAACGATTCCGGGAAAAACTAAAAGTTAGTCTCGGTTCCAATCGATACTCGATTCTCGATACCCAACCCTAGTCACGACAACAGGCGATTCCGTGGCGTCAAATCCGTTGTGTGTAATTTGTGTTGAAAAACTCTCCAATGAAGCAATGAAGCCGTCAAAACTGCAGCGGCACTTCACCAAACATCCAAATCACGGTGTGTTTGCTATTGTATTCTGAAACTGTTACCGCCTACTCGCCTGTCAGTCATCAGTTGCTCTGAACTTTAAAAGTTAAAAGGATTTCTTTTTTATTAATCATCACTAACATTTGTTTTTCTGTAGGATTAACATTTATGTGCTTTCGAAGAGAAATGTCTCCAACATTGTTTCCATGTTTTCCATCTGATCAGACAATAATAAAGATGGAATCAAAACTGAATGAAGACAGTTTGTTCAAGACTCGTATTGTTAGTATAGCTGTAAATCAATCGATCACTACACCCTTGTGAACAGGAACACTTTGGCAAAAAAAAGATATCTGTTCCTCTTTATGTGTTGAAGGTTCAGATTTAAACAGGTTCAGTTAATAAACACAGCACAGTGTCAGACTAACAATACACAGTAGATTAGCATGAACGTTTTTATATTCTGTATTATTTTTTTCAAACAACACATAAATCACAAAAATTAGGGGTGTTTCTTGTCTTTCATCAATAATGGGGCACTGGCCCCTCAACAAAAAAGTGATACTATTTTTTGATATAAATTGTTTTTACCTGCAGTACAGAGCCGTTCACAAACTGCATGCACAATAATGAGCTCCTTCATAACTGACAAATTATAGAAGACAAATGCCAATTTTGTTTCCTAAAATTTAGTGAATATCCAACTCATCCTTGTCTTATAAAGTGTCTCATTACTATTTCGGTGTGAGAGATCGCTGCGAACGATTCAGTGCAAGTGTGAACGGTCTAAATGAATCACTGAACCACTAACATTTTTTCTCTTTTTTCTTTGATTGTTATGGCCCCCGAGTATAAGCTTTGGAGCTTTTTTGGGGACCAGTTCACATACTTGATCATCTTTTTTGTTCTTGGCCTTAGTATATGTATGTGAATAAAAGAAGGAAAAAAATAAATAAATAATAAACATGATGACAGAACATAACACACGACTTAATTGCTAAAATGCTATGTTATATTTATATTATATTATATATTGCATTTTACTTGCTGCCAGGAATTAGTCACATGGCATTTGTGGTTCAATTGATTTGCAAAAAACAAAACAAAAAAAACCTGTACACCCAAAAGCAAATAATATGGCTGAATTGAAATCACATACTTTCAGGGAATGCTGTATCAGTCAAGCAACTGCTATTAGGATGAATGAGAATGCTTTTTCTGCAGTTGTTCTAGACCTCCTTGTTTAAGATGTGAACTTGTGACTCACTCCTCAATCTGTTCAAGAGCTCTAGAGGGACGCTGTGTCAAACAATGAGCTTTCTTCTAAACAAACGGGGGGAGGGAGAAGGCCAAACAGCACAGACTATGTAATAATCCTGAATTGCGTCATCCAGTGAATATATTTGGAAACGCGCATTGATCCAATCAAACGACGAAAAGAACTGCATCTCTTTAAGTTTAATGTCTACAGCAAATGTTGTCTGATGTCATGCCAGAGAGGACAGACTCAATGGAACGGTTTTAACAACACAGAATTATGAATTAGAAAGGAGCAGAGACGAAATCTACGAAAGACATTAAATGCAAAACATTTGTTGTATGCATACTAAACCAAATTATTATTGTTAAATATTTTCTAAGAAAAATGTACTGTGTGGTTTGCGATTTTTTTTCTTTTTTTTTAAATCTGTTAAAAAAATAATAGTTGTTATTTAAATTGAATTGATTTCATTTAAATTGGATTTATAGGATTGGAAATTACAGCAGTTTTTTCTGCCACTCTCTTTGTCAGGTACTGCGGTGTGACTGCCTGAAGGCCGGGGAGGCCAATTGTTCGGACACTATTCCCATCTCTCCATCCAGCCCCCGTGAGAAGTGGCTTCGCAGGCGGACACATGTCAAATTACGGGTTAGCATCACCTGCAATTACTCTTTTTTATGAAACAGTGTTGTACAGTGTGATTGATTTAATAATACATATAATTTAGCTGGAAATGTATAATAATAATGTTTCATGTCTAGTCTGCATTTTTGAACAAACGGGGCCTCTGCTGTACATTCGATTCAAAATGTTTTAACAGCTTTTGAAACTTGTGCTCTCCCAGGCTATAATTTTTTTTTTTTATTTCATCAAAAATACAGAAAAAAAAACAATAATATTGTGAAATATTATTACAATTTAAAATGACTATTTTACAATTTTTTAATTTTTTTATATATACAATTTTCTATTTGAATATATTGTAAAATGTTTGTTTTTTTCCTGTGATGCCAAAGCTGGATTTTTAGCAGCCATTATTCCAGTCTTCAGTGTCACCCGGTCCTTCAGAAACCAAGAGTTGTTTTAACCAAGAATTTTAAGTTCATTGAAATGGAAAAATTGAGTTAATACAATGAAGGAGATTGATTTAACCATCAGAAACTCAAAATATTATGTTATCTGAACTACATCAATTATCTAAGTTGATTTGACAAAAGAAAATATGTTGTGATTACAAATCATGAAAGTATTTTTTTTACGGTGTACCTTTTTGTTTTTAAGGCTTAATCATTTTATTGTTCATTAACAGAATGTAACGGCAAATCACCGAGTTCATGATGTCATTGTGACAGAGGATGGGCCACAGATGCTGGTGGGGCGATTTATGTATGGCCCTCTTGACATGGTGACCCTAACGGGAGAGAAGGTATTGTTGATGTCGAAACGACAAGCATCATAACCAATACTACAAAACCCTAATGCCTGGTTCAGATTACACAATTTTTTTTCTGTTACGATAGTCAATGTGTCAGATTACGCGATTTTGACTACTAAAATCTTGTGTCGTGGACAAGACACATGTCAGACTACACGTTGCTTTCTGACCAGTCATCGCATGCCGTCTTTAACGGCACGTGTGATGTCATCGAGAAGGCAAAACTAGTAGCGTGTGACTTCCGGAAACGAACGTAAACAAACAAGCGGTGAGTGTTGTATCAGAAAAAAGTAAAAAAAAAAAAAAAAAAGAAAACCCGACAATGGACACGTTCCTGGATTACACGAAGTGGACAGTATGGGCTGTCAATCCTCCAAAGAGAACTTGAGGTAAAATATTGTTTTCTTATATATTTTTACTTTTAGTTTTAACGTTAGCACCATCGTCTCTCTTTTGTTTCGCCATTTTTGAAAGTTGTGTATGGAAAAGCTTTTGTTTTCCTATTGGTCAACCACATACATGGACGACCGTTAAAAAAATTAAACATGCTAGTCTTTTTATCATGATGTCGTGAAGCATCTCAGACGCGACGTAGGTTGTCGCCCTCTATGAGACATTATACGAGATGATACGATCGAATCTTGTGTCCCAACGCCCGTTGTCGTTTACGAATCCCCACGACAGCCTACATCAAATGGATCATGCCAAAATCGGGCTAAAATCGTGTAATCTGAACCAGGCATAAGAGGTCTAGAGAAAATGATCTGTTAAGCCGCTTTTCCGACATTGGGCCAAACCGTTCTCTGTTTAATCGCTCCATTGCATGCCAATCAGTCAAAGTGGGCCACTGTGGGGCTGATAATGGCTCTTTGGATCATAATACAAACGTGTCAGTTGTTGTCTCGTTAACGCAATAGTTGCAGATTATATTATGTAAATCGCGACCACGTTATGGAGGATGATCAAATAATTCTTTTAATTTTATTATTCATTTATGTCGCTCAAATTCCGTGTTTAGCCAGCTACAGAGAAAATGGTAGCCGCCAGCCAACAGACAAGTGACCAATCCTGAGTGGCAACGTCACTACATGCATTCTATCATCCATGCTGAGAATACCAGAAAGACTGGTACCGGAATAGGCTCAAGTTGTTCCTATAACCGTTCGGCCTAACAGTGGAAAAGTGGCTTTAGATTCCCATTCTAATGGATAGCTGGGACAAAAAAAGCATTTCGTACTTTCGTACATTTGAAACTTAAAATTATGATCTTGATTCTCAGGTGGATGTGTTTTTGAAGACCCAGCCTGCCTCCGGCCGTTGGGTGCTGTTTGACACTGTGGTGACCAGCGGCAACGGACGTGTGTCCTACACCATCCCTGATAATAAAAAACTGGGGGTGGGCGTTTACCCCATCAAAATGGTGGTCAAGTAAGTGTTCACATTCTCATCACAAAACTGTGTATCCTCTGTATATCTATCTATAGACCATGGAATGGAGAATGGAGGAATTTACGGTAACACTTTACAATACGGGTGCACTAATAAGCATTAATTTATGCTTAACTAATGCACAGATAATACTGAATTAATGTGTAACTAATGATCATCTAAGCTATTCATTAATGATTACCACATTAGGAACTAATCAAGAGTGTGTATTAGTTCATACATGAATTGTTTTGAATTAAATATGTAATTGTGGATTAATTCTGTAATAGCTCATTTCTTTAACTAATAGTGTTAATTAATATGTTAATTACCAGAATGAGCCAAAGTCTTGTATTTCAACTTCCAGATAATATGACAGGTACACTAATATGCATTAATACATGATTAATTACTTCATTGTTAGTGCAAATTCATGTGAAAATTACTAAATGACTAGTTAATAATGATGTGCCCCAGCAAGTAAAGTCATAACATAATGATACCTTTGCAAATCATTAGCTAATGATCAATTAAAGCAGACAAGCATGGCATTGACTAATTGTGGCAATTAACACATTATTTTACACTATTAGTTAATTAAGGAATTAATACACAATGACACATTGAATTCATAGCAATTTCTGTATTAATTAATCTATTAATCATATAGACTCTTTATTAGCTGCAGATGCAGTAATCATTAATTAATGGTTTAGTTCTTCATTAGTTATACATTAACTCATGATTATCCGTGCATTAGTTAAGCATGAATTAATGCATATTAGTGCACCCGTATTGTAAAGTGTTACCGAATTTTCTACCTGAGCTGGTTGCGTTTCTTTATTTTTCTTTACAGAGGTGATCAGACCAGCGCTGAGGCATTCCTCACAGTGTTGCCAAGGGGAATGGAGTGTGTGGTGTTTAGTATTGATGGCTCCTTTGCTGCCAGTGTCTCCCTAATGGGTAGTGATCCCAAAGTCCGCCCCGGAGCTGTGGATGTGGTCAGGTAAACGTGTGACTAAGGTTAAGAAGAAATACCAAAGAAATACAAGCACACACAAATAAACATAAGGCTCAGGCCGTAACACTAATGATAAGTATGCATGGCGGACATGCACATGTGTAAACACATGACCGGAACAACCAATCAGAACATAGGCATAATCACACGAGGGCAAGGAATCACATGACTAAACTTCAAAATAAAAGACATTAAACATAAAAATGAAGAAAACCCAAAAACCAATGAGACATTAGGGTTCATAAACAGAACTTTCAGAATCTGAAACTGAATTGGATTCATTTAGTTCATCATGTAAGCATACCTAATATTTTACACAAATTTTAGTGTTGACTGCATTTGTTTTGATTATTCTCTAGACATTGGCAGGATCTTGGCTATCTGATCATCTACATTACTGGCCGTCCTGACATGCAGAAGCAGAGGGTGGTGTCCTGGCTCTCTCAACACAACTTCCCTCAGGGCATGGTCTTCTTCTCAGAAGGACTCGTCCATGACCCCTTGCGCCAGAAAACCCTTTTTCTGAAGAGTCTGGTGAAAGAGGTCTGCCTCGGCACACACCAACCAGCCGAACATTTACATTATGCATTACAATATGTTGCATTAGAAGATGATTTTGTTGGTTTTGAATGTTTGTTTTCAACTTTAGAGAGTAGCAAATTGGCGAGTAATGATTAGCCTCATTTTATAACATTTCTGTGGTTGCTGCTGTTGCTGCAGATCATTCTGCTAAATGCTAAGAACAATTAATACAATTAATGCCACAGGGTTAGTGTATGCGTGGTTATAACGGGAAGTAGTAATAGTATAAAGGGAAGTAGTACATCGCAAGCTATCACATTTTTAGCTACCTGATAATATTAGACTTTTTTTACCGTTAGATGTTGGATTGTGCTCGTCATATTGTTATTTCTTTCATATTGTCATTGTTAAAGGAGTAGTTCACTTTTAAAAAAATACTTTTGCTGATAATTTACTCACCCCCATGTCATCCAAGATGTCCATGTCTTTCTTTCTTCAGTCGAAAAGAAATTAAGGTTTTTGATGAAAACATTCCAGGTTTTTCTCCATATAATGGACTTCAATGGGAACCAAACGGTTCAAGGTCCAAAAGACAGTTTCAGTGCAAACCGCAAACTGTACAAAGGGCTTAAAACGACTCCAGACGATGAATAAGGGTCTTATCAAGCGAAACGATCACTCATTTAATAAATAAATAACAAAGTTTAAGTTTTATAAGCTCAAATGGTCGCCTTGCTCTGTTCTGTGACGCACGTTCGTGACTCTCCTGTTCAAACTCGTTCATCAAAACGAATGAATCTTTGACTCGGAAAAAGATTTGTTCATTTTTTTTTTAAAGTGAACTGCTCCTTTCATTTCTGTCATTTCATGTGTTTTTAGAGACTATGTTGTGACAAGGGTGCGTAATGAATGATCATATGAATTTCCCCCGTGGGATAGTAAAGTTTACCTTAATGGATACGTGAAATCGATTACCTGTAATCTCTTAAACTTTTAGTAAATTCATCTCTCGTTAAAACTCCTAATATTTTCTCATGTCTTAGTTATCAACTTTCAGATTGCACCGTTATTAAATTACACCTGGACGAGTGTAAAAAAGGAAGTAACTGGGCCATAAAAACAAAAATATTTTTTCTAAAAATATATTTGTGTTTCCACGTAGTGTCACATTAATATCAGTGCGGCGTATGGCTCAATGAAGGACATGTCCGTATACAGCACATTGGGACTTGCACCTAATCAGATATACATTGTGGGCAGGCCATCCAAGAAACATCAGCACCAGTGCCAGGTAAAGCTCAGAATAAGAGGAAAATATCATAACCTGGTCAACTAAAACGATTAACAGTACTGAATCCCTTCAAGCTCAATTTTCCCTCCCTTTGTCTCTTTGTCATGTGTCATAGTTCTTGTGCGAAGGCTACGCAGCTCACCTCTCCACTCTTGAGTTTGAGCACGGCTCACGCTCAAAAAAGAACCGCATGGTGCTTCGGCAGGGATCGTTTGGCCTTTCCTCCAAAACGGACTTCCTGTCTCCATCCCCAGACTTCCTGTCCTGCAAGCGCACTCCGCTGCTGCGTCGAGCCATGTCTGTTCAGCAGCGGTCTCCACCCTCGTCATCTGTCTCAACCCCCAAACCTGAGCGTGCTCAGAGCCAGCCTGAATCTCAGAAAGACGGACCAGAGATTCGCATCCAGACCGATGATCAAGAGGAAGAGGAGGATGAAGGAGAGGGGAGAATACAGGATGTTGTGCTATAAAGGAATTGTGTTAAAAGGGTATGTTGAGAAACAAAGTTGCTAGTTAATTACTAGGGAACATTTGAAAAGTTCAGATGCAAAAGCCTCTAAGTGCCATTTGAAATTTTCTTCTAGAATGATCATTTTTATCAAGCTTGTATATTTAAGTTCAGTGATTTCACTTAAATGGCAATGAAGATTACCTATTAATTGTTATTTAAGTGAAATTACTGCACTTAAATATACAAGTTTGATAAAAAATCATCATTAATGAAGAAAATTTCAAATGGCATTTAGAGGCTTTTGCATCTAAACTCTTCATTTATACTTTCCATGTGATGCATAGTGCATTTTTAGTTAACTATTACTAGTTTAGTGAAAGTGTTAGTGTTAATGCACTTTACTCACTAGTAAATAAAGAATCAAATCGAAATGTATCTATAAAGCACCTTGAAAAACACAGAATGTACTAAAGTGCAAGTACAATTTCAAAGGGATAAAAATTATTAAAACAGAGAAAGAAAGGGATAAGAGAGGGGGAGAAAAAATAAGATTATAAATGCATCAAATCCAAACCTAATGGTCCTTACAAAGTAGCAAAGGCTTAATCAAAACAAATAAACATTTTAAACATGTTAACAGAGGAAGATGATATCTGGATATTGGTAAACCATTCCACAAAAACTTTCAAAATAGTTTATTCTTGAATTCGATGAGATAGATTATAATAAATCCAAAGGACGGCCATGCATTCACCCCCAAGAGTTCTTGAGATCTTGAAAAATGTTCGTGTTTTGTTTTTGTTTTTTTCTAGTTTGGGAGTAACAGTATCTATTGAAGAGCAGTGTGTACTGCTGCTTCATGGATGAGAGAACTCACTTCTACTTTGATCAGAGACTCAATGAGGCTGAAATTGCTCTGTCTGTCAGCGATAGAGCACTTCCAAATCAGTCTCACACTCGAGAGGGAGGCTACAACTTTATCACCATACACATCTAGAGACTGACTATGTGGTGAATTTCAATTCCATACACCTCGAGGGATCGGGATATGGTTGGTTCTCATGAAAAAATGAAGATCAAATGCAAAATATGATCGTTTTACTGAGCCCAGTTTTACTTGATTAACCTTGTGATCAGTATCACGTTATATAACACAGTCAGTAGTTAACTGCCACTGTAGTTAACCTAGAATTAGTAGTAGTTGCAGCACTAGTTAAAGGTACAATATGCAGGATTTTTTCAGTAAAATATCCAAAAAACACTTGGCCGATGTTAAATATTTTGTTTAGTTGATTACTTACAATATCCCAAATGTTTCCAACTAAAATCGTGAGAAAATTGTGATTTCAACCAAGTAAACGGGGCGTGTGTGAGCAGGTGTGAGGAGTCGCCAGTCAATGGCCTTGTACTGCAATAGTAACCATGGCGACAGGCGTTGACAACGGGTTATGCCTAGAAGGACACTCACTCTGTTGTTGTTTTCTTCAAACATTATGGACCATGGCAAGCAGACTTTGAGACAAAAAGACGACTTAAACGAAGATCAACATCTTTCGAGATGCCGAGAGCTCCACGTTCGCAACTAAATTTGACTTGACAGCATGTTGAGCAAATGTACATAAAACTAAACAATGTTATGTCAGCTAGTTCAGCAAGTTAGAATCTGGGGCTCGTTCTTCGTACGTCGCTAACTCAGTTAGCTGGATTTGATTGTTGGCGATTTGCCATGATCTTGGATCGTTTGGTTCTTCGACGCTCATCCTGGACTTGCTGTCATAGCAACAGGTCCGTCAGCTTGAACCTGCTCGTGAGCAGGCTTATTTCATGTAAACAGGATTAGATCGCGGCTGATACGGGAAGTCCTTCAGCGCAGCGCGATAGTGTAGCTTAATTTCTGAGATTTATTTATTTTTTCTCATGAAACGATCGTCGTGAGGGTGTCGTTTAAATACATTATTATTTTGTTGGAAATGCACATTAATGTTCGATTCGATGTCGGGCTTCAACAACAGCACAAAATGTTTGCATTGCCCTGAAATTATTTGCGAGTGGCTTCCTTTACACCATTGGAGATGCGGAGAACTTGATAAGCTTTCTGTCGTGCCATTTACAAAGTAGGTTTCTTAGGTTTTTTTTTTTTTTTTTTTTTTTTGCCAACTTAGGGTATATTATAATTTTTTATGAAGATAATGCAATCATGATGACCGTGCCGATTATGACTTACAGTCCTTTAGGCTTACCTGATTGGTGCCATACTACACACATGTTCCCATCAAGTCCTCAATGAAGGGATTTTGTGAGCAGAAAGGGGGCTTATACAGTGCAGCCAAATTACTATTATAATTTTTAATATTCCAGATATGGAATATTATATCACTTTTTTTAAAAGGCATTTGACTGAGTAAAATCTTTTAGATGGTGTGTGACATGTTCTATATCACAAATCAGTGTGAAAGCAAAATGGCCAGGATCTGTGCATGACTCAAGAATTTTAAGAGATTCACATTTATGAACATTATTTGAACATGGTAAGGAAAATTATAAAGATCAAACTCACGGTATTACATACACTTATGCTGAGAACTGCATTTTTCCATTAAACAGGTGATTACAACAGGATCCTGCATGGAGACAGGTGTTTTATGACCCCATTCCCTGACCCAAACCCCAGACCAGTTACAATGCAGCTCTAGGACAAGGGCACACAATGACATGAGCTTTGGCCAATAAAGGGAAGATTCCAGGGTCTAAAAAGCCTGAGGGTTGCACCTGACAGGGCCTGTGAGTGACATTGCATGTGCCATATTACACAACACTGCCAACATCAGAAAAAGAAAAAAAAAAAGTTTAATTAAGCCTAAAATAAAAGACAAGACAAATTTGCAAAACTCTATTTGCTTAGAGTTTTATTTCAATAGTTCTTTGTAAAGAAAAGCCAGTTATTCAGTCATCTTTTTAAAAGATATTGTGCAAGGTCAGCAATAGTACTCTGTGATTTTACTCTGAAGTTTATTTCGAAGCAACTCTATTTCTAATGCATTTTTTTCTTAGTCAAGTTCTGTTTCTCCCCCTGATTTTTGTTTTTCAAAATACTCTATTTTCTGTTGAAGACTCATCTAGGGAACGAATTTAACCCTGTGTCGTTTGTGTCACACATGCCTCATGCAACAAATAAAAAGCAAAAGTTGTCTCTACACTGCCCTCCCCTGTATCACTGCTGTGTGCAGACTCTTCTGTAGGCCTTTACATGTGGACTCTTGTCAGAAATAACAGGCATAGGCACAAGTATAAATCAATTAAAGCCATCAATTAAATTAAAGTACTTCCTCCAAAGGACAGTCATCTGAAGTTTTCTTCACTCTCCAGTGCAATGTGATTGATAACTCATGGCAAAATATTTTTTACATTAACATAAGTTTATCAGTTTTTACTTTCACAAGAAAAGCAATTTATCATTACTCAAGATTTAACAGTTGAAATGACTAAACCAGACATTTGGATTATAGGTCTACTTCATTTAATGCAGCAACAAATTATTTCACAGTGTACAAAGATAATTGAAATCTCATTTCCCAGTGATGAAGGTGTTGTTGCTACTGGTCCCTGATGTGGGTCTGGAAGAGCTGAACCCAGGGATGCCCTTCACAACAGGGCAATTCACATTCAACCCAAGGGTCAGCTCTTCTGCCAGGGTCAGGAGCATCATTATTTTTTTTTTCTCAGCCTTTTTTCTGGTTGCTTTTATAAACAGACAATCATTTATTTAACAGTGCCTTTTTAAAAGAGACTAGTAGGCCTATAAGGTCTAGTAAAATTACCATTAAGTAGAATATTTTTGTACTTAACTTTCACCATGTCCATTATTATAGTGTGGTGACTCGACATTACAATGAACAAAGTAATTATGAAATTATGAAAATAAAAATAAAATAATAATAAGTTATTAAAACATTTAACATGGCCACCACAAACGCATTTAATTTGTCTTCTACTTTTGCCAGCACTCTCTCCTGGCTTTTGCACACTTTGAGGTGTTCCTGGCGTTTTAATTAAAGACTGAAATTCGGCATAACCTTGCATTAAAAGCGCTTGCTCTGCTTGGGAGAAAAACTGGGCGTGTTCTTTGGCCATGCTGAACAGCCAATAGCAGCGCTGCTGATCACTGGTTCTGCTATCGATACATGTCACCTTTTAAACCAACGCGAGAACGCGCAGTTATCTCAGATAACTCAATCCAGCGATACTAATCATAAACAACAGGTGTATTCGAAGAACCCAATTAGCCGGATCATGATTAGCACGATGATATTATCTTGGATGTCTCATTTGATCTCGGATGTTTTAAGCAACGTACGAAGAACGAGCCCCTGATCTGTATGTTATCTCTAATGCTCTAATGTTAATCTAGCTTAGTCTCATACAGCCAACAAACAACCTAACTAACAATATTCCTCCCACAGTGGCGTTTAGTGTGATAGTGAAACTGTTAGAGCAAGTGAAACTCATTTCCTCAAGTTTAATTCCCCTAAAACTGACCTGCGTGAGTAACTCAGCACTCGGTGTAGTTTGGTAGAATGAAATGTCCTTATTCCTTTATATCCGCGGGACTCGCGTTGCGTGTGGCGCTGATATACGTCTAGCAATCGCGCCCTGCTTCACCACAGTCATGTTAAAAACATCAATGTATTCCCTCATCCATAAAAGATCCATCAGCTTGACGACAAGATCCATAATTCCGCTTAATGCGAAATATACACTCCTAAAGGATTATTAGGAACACCATATTAATACTGTGTTTGACCCCCTTTCACCTTCAGAACTGCCTTAGATCTACGTGGCATTGATTCAACAAGGTGCTGAAAGCATTCTTTAGAAATGTTGGCCCATATTGATAGGATAGCATCTTGCTGTTGATGGAGATTTGTGGGATGCACATCCCGTTCCACCACATCCTAAAGATGCTCTATTGGGTTGAGATCTGGTGACTGTGGGGGCCATTTTAGTACAGTCAACTCATTGTCATGTTCAAGAAACCAATTTGAAATGATTCGAGCTTTGTGACATGGTGCATTATCCTGCTGGAAGTAGCCATTAGAGGATGGGGACATGGTGGCCATAAAGGGATGGACATGGCTGTGGCATTTAAACGATGCCCAATTGGCAATAAGGGGCCTAAAGAGTGCCAAGAAAACATCCCCCACACCATTACACCACCACCACCAGCCTGCACAGTGGTAACAAAGCATGATGGATCCATGTTCTCATTCAGTTTACGCCAAATTCTGACTCTACCATCTGAATGCCTCAACAGAAATCGAGACTCATCAGACCAGGCAACATTTTTCCAGTCTTCAACTGTCCAATTTTGGTGAGCTCTTGCAAATTGTCGCCTCTTTTTCCTATTTGTAGTGGAGATGAGTGGTACCCGGTGGGGTCTTCTGCTGTTGTAGCCCATCCGCCTCAAGGTTGTGCGTGTTGTGGCTTCACGAATGCTTTGCTGCATACCTCGGTTGTAACGAGTGGTTATTTCAGTCAAAGTTGCTCTTCTATCAGCTTGAATCAGTCGGCCCATTCACCTCTGACCTCTAGCATCAACAAGGCATTTTCGCCCACAGGACTGCCGCATACTGGATGTTTTTCCCTTTTCACACCATTCTTTGTAAACCCTAGAAATGGTTGTGTGTGAAAATCCCAGTAACTGAGCAGATTGGGAAACACTCAGACCGGCCAGCACAAAGTTGATTATGGGCTAATTATATCTAATATTTGGTGTTTTTAAAAATGTTTTAGATTTAAGTAGAAAATGATAATCGCTAAATTTACTGAATATATTTTGAAACAGGTCTTCTTAATGATTTTCAGTTTTGTTCTAGTTAATTAAAAAAAACAAACATTTTTTTTCAATAGCTCTATGTAAAAGGATGGTATTTGGGGCAAAAGGCCTAAATACTTTTATGATTTTTTCAACACAGTCTCATGAAGATGCGTATTTATACCACGAATGTCATCTCTCGTGGCATTAAACCCTGGGGTAGGTTTAGGGGGGAGGGGGGTGGAGAGTTTGTGCATATTATACGCCAAAAAGTGCGCATCATATGCACACGAAAAACGCGTACCATATACACGCAAAAACTGTTTTTGGCGTATAAATGCCACGAGAAATGACATTCGTGCCATAGATACGAACTTTCATGAGATCGGACTCGTTTTTTTTTTTACGCAAAATCTGTTGCTCTATCAATGTTCAATAATTTTCATACCCTTTGGGAGTATAATGTATTTCTTAAGGTTTGCCTTTAGCCCCGTTGTGCTCTACTTGTATTTCACGTCATTAGTACATTTATAGCTACCTCTGTACATTTCAGACGTGATCTACCCATCATTATTTCTGCTCTGACATCAGCAGTGCGCAACTCATTACTAATGCTCTTTATCAGAGAAGGCATGCTGACATATTCATTGGGAGATGTTTCTCAGCTGTTGTCATGGAGACACCCGTTTTTGTGATTGATTTGAAAGCGCTCCAATACAGAGCTCCATTCGTATCACAAACCTGCAGAGATTCACTGATATTTGATGTAGTGCACCGACAAACACACACGTTGAGTGGTTATTGGAGCAGAATGTAATTTGGAAACAGGCTCTTTTTTTATTGTATCGCTTAGAGCCAGAGCAGCCCATTGGCTCACAGAAGACCACTGGCTCCCATCTGGGTTGCTGTGACACACTGGAGTTGCCCAGGTCTCTGCACTCTGTCATCATGTGTCTGTAAACGACAGGAATGCCTGCGATTTGGCGAATCTGTCTTGAACTTTTAGGGAGGGGCTTCTCGAAAGTGTGATGGACACTGTGAGACGATGTTCCCTTTGGCTGATGTTTGAGTTGTGTTTCTCTTTCACAGTCTATTGGAGCAAGTAATTGTGATTGAACTGCTCTAAACCAGGGACACTTACAGCGAATCTTTTCTGAGAAACACAAGGGTAAAGAAAGCAAATGATCTTTGACTCTGTTAATTATGGGCCATTAATAGACAATTTACAATACTAAACTGCTCAAGTTATGTGGCAGTATTAATCTATTAATGCTCTTGCTAAGATATGTTTTGAAAATGAATATATATTTTAAAATGCATCTTACTGATTTTATTTATGTATGACCGACAAATATGCATCACATTAAGTTTATTACATTCTAAAAAATGCTGGGTTGTTTCAACCCAAATTTGGGTCAAATATGGACAACCCAAATGTTGGGTTAAAAATGTAATAAACAAATTTACAGTTGAAAGTGAAAGTTGAAGTTGGGTTAAAATTTTAAATTGCATTTTTAGCACAACATTTGGGTTTGTCCATATTTGACCCAAATTTGGGTTGAAACAACCGTAACTACAGTACAGTTGTAACGTAACGAGATATATCCAGCTGCAGACCCGCAGCACCACCAGTTTCAGAACCCCAGCGGCAGAACCGGAAGTGAGGAGGACGGAATTATTATTATTGCATATTATAATTATTTTAGCAAGCATGTAAGGACAAAACGGGCCTTGAGTTCCTCATTTGATACATTGTAAGTTAAATTTAAACAAAATTGTTGTGATAAAACAGGCCTATCTTGGGTTGAATTGGTCATTTTGTATAGATTTTTAACAAAACAATGCCGAATTTTTTTAGATTTTGACATTATTTTACACGAAAAATGCATGCTGCACATGTTCTTGTGAAATAAAGTATATTTTATAAAAAAAATACCCATGCGTTTTTTTTTTTTTATTAAACAATCAAAATCATCTTACAAATACATCTTCAATATCAAAACAATTTAAGATTTTTGTGAACACAATAAATAAATAAATAAATAGAACATAAAATATCACAGAGGTCTAATGAGTTATCAGATTATGTATAATTTTGAAAACCTCCAATTGTCTTGTTTTATATCTTTCAAAGCTTTATTATACAAAGTTAACTCCTTCGTAAAAAACAAAAAAAACAAAGGTCTTATCTTCCTAAATGTACACGTATGTATAAACTGCTTAGCTAAAATTACTAAACTGTTATAGGCCTACATTAAAATGCCCATAAGTTTCAAGTATTATTTTTTCACCATCATGATCAGGAAGTAACTCATAATACAATGAAACGAATAACTGAAACTATATACAATTATTTTACACAAAATCCATGTTTGCTTATTGTATAGTAATGTATAGCATCATAACATACATAGAGAGTAGGACGTTTCTTGTTCAATAAAAGCTGTTTCATGTGTAAAATACCCTCCAAATTACGTTAGGTGGCGTTATTAGGTTTCAAATCTAAGCTCCGCCCCTCACTTACGTTCCTTCCGCTGGTGTTGGTTAGAACTAACTCCGCCCCTTACTTCCGGTTCTGGCGCTGGGTTCTGAAACTGGTGTGCTGCGGGTCTGCAGCTGGATACTGTAGAACGTAACTACAAGTGTTTATAGTTACGTTAAAATTGTGTAAGATAAATGGATGGAATTGTATATGCAATTCAAATACATAAATCTTATTTAGGCCTACATATTTTAGTTTCTCTTTGTTTTTTTTAAATTATAAATTACTTCTTTACACTTATTTACACTTACATTATAACAGGGTTTTCAAACTTTTTAATGCTATGGACCCCTAAAATAATAATTATTTTTAAATATATTGATTTTGAAATTATTTACTTTCAAATGTCACATTTAGTCATTTTGAACCTATTATTCTGTTATTTTATATTGAACTTTTCCACAATGCCTCTGTCTCTGATGATGCAAGATTTAGTTTCTTTAGAAATAGCATTTGCAGATTCCATAGAAATTAATAAATCGGATGCTTATAATACAGAAGAAGAAAAAAATAACTCATGACTGAAATGCCTAAAATGCTTCTGATGTTTATACTGAATTCGATTTATTTTGTAAAGGTCCCAAAAGGAGCTCATGGGGTCAAGCTGAAAGACATACACAATTGTTTTGATTATTTTAATTTCTTCTATGGTAAAGCACTTTGAATTACCATTGTGTATGAAATATGCTATATAAATGAACTTGGCTTGCCTTGCCTAAAATCTTATTGAATGAGCTACATTCAAAGCCATTGTAAAGCATCTGATTTTGAATTGTATATTAATGCACTAAATTGCTAACATGTGTTATACAGTGATTCTACAGCTCGGGCATTGACTGGTACGGCTGGAAGACCATCTTGAACAAGCTCATTTCTCCAACCTCTTACTAATCTCAAGTTTCTTTCTCCATCCTCAGTACATGCAGACCAATTTAATCATCAAACACATCAAGATCTCATCTCAAACCAGAAGAACCGTTCAACTCTAGATGGCTCCTTGCTAGACGAGAGCAGTGAACAGTGAGCTGCAAGGATTTGCAAATTATCTCCAAAACAAACAATCCCACCGGAGAGAGACGAGACAAAAATACGCGTGCTGTTAGAAAGAGCCCTAGAACAAATGTGAAGATTGGACACTGAACACTTTAACAACCCCCATGTGACTCTTACAGCAGACTGAATGAAAGAGGAACATGGAGGAGACAGATGTATGACAGAGAATAGCTATAGAAAGTAGTGTCACGGTCATCTTTATTGAGTTTTGTGCTTTGCCGGGAGACTCGTTTCATGTGGTGAATATTTTCCTGCAGACTCCTGTAATGGTCTTTGTGAAGGTAACCATGGACATGAGCACCTGAGCCGCATCTATTTATAGCTGTCCTCCTGCAACCTGAGGCATTGTGTTCTTTATGACCCACACGTCTGTCGGATCACCTGGCAGGCGTTTCTCAGAAGACCCCGTTTTCTTGTGTTTTAATCAGCCGTAAAGTAAAAGCACGTCTCCAGGTGTTTATTAATAGATTTTTTTGGACTCCTGTCTGCATGTTTCGTTTAACCCAGAATCTTTTTGTCAAAATGTTGCTTCATACTCATGCATTATGTAAAGACTAGTTCTAGGGTGAAGTATGTGCTAATAGATTGTGTGCTGACAGAGTTTTTAGATGTCCTGCTGTGGTTTGACGTCTGTGACATTTTCAGAGAGAATCTGTTTGTGATTTTGGCTGTACTGCACAAAACTGTATATAACTGTATAAATGTATTTCATAAACAGTGTTATTGGAAGTTACAAAACTAGGCCTATCTGTTGAAATGTGTCGACTACTTATTTCCGAGCATAAAGCATTAATTTCTGAGTGTTTTAAAAAAGTCATTCTGGTAGGCTAGGATATCTTGATTTTCCCCAAGTAAAACATATTTGATCCTCAAACAATTTCTGTCTGAAAATTGAGTCCCAACACCACTCTACCCCTAAACTAGGACTGCACGTCATGATATATCAAAATATTGCGATATGTATATCACAAAGGGTTGCAATATATGAATTTTAATAATGCGCTAGGCCTACTTCAAAAAGTTACAAAAGCTCTTGTTTTAGGCCGATGCACACTATAGCAGAGAATAGCCTTGCCACGCGACTGTTACTTAAGTTACATGTGACTTAACTTTAAAGAGTTATTATGTGCAATAAACTGCGGGCAACAACTCATTGGGCTCATCCCTCGGGAGTTTTAAACATTTACCATTCTGAAAATAATAAAGAAAACAATAAAGAAGCCTTTTAAAATGGATGATTCATTGACGAGACCATAGACAGTAAAGGCCGAGACACCCATAGATAGTATCTATCTAATATGGAGACACCCTGCATTCTTTTAAATCGCTGTTATTTTTCAGTTAACACCAGGTATTTTTTTACTCTCGGTGTCCCCTACAGTTGGGAAACAGTATTGTCCTCTACTTCTGTCGTAAACTCTTCTGTCATCCTTTTTTTTTTTGTAAAGAAAATAAACATTTAAATAAATAAATGCTAGGAATTATGATATAACAAACATGACAATATAAGGGGTGAATGCAGTCTTTGTTCATCCATTTATCTCAGTTGGGAAGAGTTTTAGGGTATCCTACATGCACGCGCATTTGTGCACGCATAAATTCCGCATTTGACGCAAGGATGTTCATCAGTTTCCGGTTGGGGAGATTTAAAGCGGTGGAAAACCGAGGAAAACGGGATTATGGCAGAGTTTTCAACATTTACTGTCCTTCGTCTTTGAAACGAAACTTTCATAGATGTAATTTTATATATAGCTATGTTTATAATATCATTTTAAAAAGAAGCATAAACACAACGAGGGGTGTGTGTTTGTTTTTGTGACTAACGTTTCTTTACTATACCCATGGAGTATAAAATTCAATGTAAATTCTCGGTATTGCATATATTGGACTCTACGATCGGCGGAAGTTATCGAGCATCCTTAAACCTTCACCGGAAATGCCGCCGTGCATAGAGCCCATATCCCTGAACACTGTAGGAGGAGGTCACATGCAGGTGTTCTGCTTGCGTCGCGTGTGAAATGTCTTCATCCCAGGTAACGTTACAGTGGCATTTCAGCATGTCATATGAATATAATTTCATGGGTTTTATTTTTTTTTTTTCTAACGACAAATGATCACGATGCCACGTTTACAAGCCAGCGTCATTGGCCTAGTCTACTGGTTACCGTTTTACTGAATCTATATGATACTTCAGTTTTACTGAATCTATATGATACTTCAATGCAATGTTTGAGTGGTAGATAATACTAACCATATATCGTCAATATTATAATATCAAGCTACCATAAATGAATCAGCAAATTTTACCAATCGATTTGCAGTACAGCTTGAGGCAAGAAAAATAAACGAATATCACAGACAGGTTAATGGGTATCCTAAAATATGATTTTGTACATCTTATATATTTCCTTGCAAGAATGTAGCCCCTACCAAATTTGTACACACCGTTTAGAAGTTAAAACACCAGTAAACTATATTTTGAAAGATAAACAGAGGACAATATAGCTTCCGTAACATAGTAGTAAGGCAGACACAAAAAAAAGAGTGTCTGTAAAAATTTTTTATATTTTTGAAATTTTTTATTGACAAAAGAAGGTATATTTTGATGTTTACCGTGTGCAGAATTTTCAAAAACTCATCTGAACATTAACCAAGGCAATCCGAGAAAGCTGTGGCTGTTAAAAATATGCCATTATTTCACCACAGGGTGTCCGTGTCGTCTACACTAGTGACCGCGACGCTGAAATGTGTGAGAACAGATGAATAACATCAGTACGAAACACGAACATTTATTTATTTGGATTAAATATTGTAATCATTCAGTGTCATTTTTCAATGTCAATCGTTTTACTATTACATGTTAATGCACAAAATGCTTAATTAATATTCAGAGAAGTTGACTGCCATTCTCCTCTAGCTGTGTGCATTCTGATCGTAGGCGCCGCGCGATCATTCATTCATTCTTTCATTCAACTATTTTAAAAGACAGGAATAAGCACCAATGTACTTTTTATTAGTCAAATTCATAAAAAAAATGTAAACTCAAGTATAGAATATAAGTAGGCTAAGAGAAAAATACTGTTGATAATGAGAAGACAGAAGACTGCTAAATATATTTAGCCTATTTATTATTCAGAATCGAACAGTTGGAAAGAAAATATATTTATAGGAACATTTCAGCAGGCTCTAGATAATTAATACAGAGATCGTTATTCATTGTTTTAATCAATTGGCATCCATAAAACGTAGTGATAATCTGCATTCTCATGTATGGATGTGCGATGAACACTCTAATCGGAAACTCCCGGTATGTAATAAGTAACGCAGAAGTAGTTGTGCAAGTAGTCCATTCATCAGATTGGGTATTAAAGGGATACTCCACTTTTTTTTTTTTTTTTTTTTTGATATAGGCTCATTTTACAACTCCCCAAAGTTAAACAGTTGAGTTTTACTGTTTTCGCATCCATTCAGCTGATTTTTATTTTTTATTTTAGAAGAATATCAGTAACCAGACAGTTTCTGGTCTCATTGACTTCAAAGTAGGAAAAAAAATACTATAGAAGTCAATGAGACCAAAAACTATCTGGTGACTGACATTCTTCTAAATATCAGAAAATCGGCAGAATGGATTAGAAAACGGTAAAACTCAACTGTTTAACTCTGGGGGAGTTGTAAAATGAGCCTATTTCCACAAAAAAAAGTGTAGTATCCCTTTAAAACAGGGCTATGCTCCTCAGGTATACAAGTAAGGTTGAGCCTAAATAGATATTCTGTTCATCGACTGGGAGTTGAAGTAGAGCTGAGCTCCTTTGCAGGGACCGAGCACAAGCAGAGCTTGACAATTAGATCGCGTATGGAAATGGAGACTTCTCCCTCACCAATTTGGGTTTTTGTGGTTTTGAAGTAGGATTATGCTCCTTGTGAATGGGTTGATCCCCATCCCCAGGCTAGTCGAAGGTTGGAACGGGGATTAACAGAGCAGAATGGTGTACCACGGATATCGATCCCTTCTCTATTGCCTCTCCAGCTTCCTTTAGTACGCTAGGCTAGTCCATAGGCTTGTGTTCAGGTCTGGTATAGATTAATTGCTGTGAGCAAGTCTGTATTTCATCTATTGGTAGAAGCTTGTACAATTATATGTTTTTTTTTGTTTGTAAACGTGTTGGATCAGACTGTAATGAGCATTCAACATTCTTGTGACCCAAAAGATGTCAAGTTTTAGTAGTCTGTAGTAGAACAGTACTATACATTAAGCTGAAACAGACAGTGCAATAACTTGAGCCTAAATAACGTAATCAGTTTCTCTATTGATCACTGTGCCTGCTTTCCATTGATCCATCGGTCATTCACATGTAATGCGTTCCTATTTTCTGTCCTGGCATCCTTTATGGAAAATGAGAGTGGGATGTGTAATGGACAGGACTACGTATGCATGTATGGATGGCTTGGCCACAATTACAGCTTAGATGACACATAATTACCTTGTAATGAATTCCTCTTCCCCTCCTAATCAACAGCTGGTCCTCATTCCTCTTCATCAGGAAGCAGTGATCATCATATTCTCAGCTTTTTGTAGTCAGCTTTATTTTATGTACATTAAGCAGCCAGCTTGATGAGCAAAGACACATAGTATGTCCAGCACAAAAATGGACCATGACATCAAAGTTTGTATGCAGAATAGTTGATTACACATCATGTTTCAAACTCAAAATACAATACACTTGCAGCCTCTAGTGGCTTTATTCGCAAGTACGCAAAAAGCCTAGTTATTTCTCACCTTTATAAAGATAGACAAATAGATTTAATAACCTGAAGTACGGTTGATAGTTACATCCAAAGACAAAAAACCCGTAAGATATCCTGAG